AATCACAGACATCGTGGGTTAGCAACACTGTGTTAGTTATCAAAGCCCTCTTCTCTCTCTCTCTCTCTCTCTCTCTCTCTCTCTCTCTCTCTCTCTCTCTCTCTCTCTCTCTCTCTCTCTTTCATACTCACACACGCCCAGTCCACTTGACAAGCTGATGTATTGGTTCTCTGAAGCTCTCTGCCCTTCAAGGTGAAATGAGTCTGAGTGTGTGTGAGGAGAGCCCTGTGACTGGCACTGACTGCCCTGAGTGGCATTGGCTGCTGTTATCAACAACCCCATAATATCAGCCTTTATGGTGTATACACCATTTCATACACAATATAGAGACCACCGAAATAGGCTAATATGATACTCAGACACCCTTACATACCAGGCCAAATATAAACTAGCTTAGTATACTCAACTCCGTCCTCCGTCTTGCGATGAGTGTCGGTGGAGTGTACCACCGACTACATTGAGTCAATATCAGTCAGTATTGTAAAAATGTCCTTTCTATAATGCTTTCCTTGTACCTATGTTTGTCCTGTGTAACTGCAAGCTTTTCGTTGGGTGCTGAAATACGTAGTTTTTGATAAAGGTAGCATTCTACGCAACCTCAGGCAAGTGAAACATTGTTTGTTAATGGAGAAGGAGCAGCCCCGTCATTACACAGCAGGTGTTTTATCATAAACGATGGATTCCAAATCCAACTGACAACTCTGTAACAATCAGAACAAGCACAGGTACAGTAAGCGTTAAATAATGGATATTTATAAAAGTATTGAGTGGCAGTGCACGCTTGAAGTAACTCCCTACTCCATTGGAAAACAGTGGATTACAGGGCGCAGTTTGACAGACGTCAAGTTTTTATCAAACATAAGTATTGACTTATAGTGTAGTGTAGTGTAGTGGTGGCACACACTTCTGGGCTCATTACATTTACATTTTAGTCATTTAGCAGACGCTCTTATCCAGAGCGACTTACAGTTAGTGAATACATCTTTTTTTTTTTTATACTGGCCCCCCGTGGGAATCGAACCCACAACCCTGGCGTTGCAAACGCCATGCTCTATCAACTGAGCTACATCCCTGCCGGCCATTCCCTCCCCTACCCTGGACGACGCTGGGCCAATTGTGCGCCGCCCATGAGTCTCCCGGTCGCGGCCGGCTGCGACAGAGCCGGCTGCGACAGAGCTCATCACGCTACAACCCTGTATGGAAGATATCCATATTACTGGGAGCTATACAGTGCATTGGGAAAGTATTCAGACACCTTGACTTTTTCCACATTATGTTACGTTACAGCCTTATTCTAAAATTGATTAAATTGGTTTTTTTCCTCATCAATCTACACACAATACCCCATAATGACGAAAACAAAAAAAGGTTTTTAGAAATGTTGCACATTTATTACAAATAAAAACCGGAAATATCACATTTACATAAGTATTCAGACCCTTTACTCAGTACTTTGTTGAAGCACCTTTGGCAGCGATTACAGCCTCGAGTCTTCTTGGAAATGACGCTACAAGCTTGGCACACATGTATTTGGGGAGTTTCGCTCATTCTTCTCTGCAGATCCTCTCAAGCTATGTCAGGTTGGATGGGGAGCGTCGCTGCACAGCTATTTTCAGGTCTCTCCAGAGATGTTCAATTGGGTTCAAGTCCAGGCTCTGGCTGGGCCACTCAAGGACAGACTTGTCCTGAAGCCACTCCTGTGTTGTCTTGGCTGTGTGCTTAGGGTTGTTGTCTTGTTGGTCTGAGGTCTGAGTGCTCTGGAGCAGGTTTTCATCAAGGATCTCTCTGTACTTTGCTCCGTTCATCTTTCCCTCGATCCTGACTAGTCTCCCAGTCCCTGCCGCTGAAAAACATCCGCACAGCAGGATGCTGCCGCCACCATGCTTCACATTTTTTACATAAAAAAAAAAATGTTTAGTCATTTAGCAGACGCTCTTATCCAGAGCGACTTACAGTTAGTGAGTGCATACATTATATATATATATATATTTTTTTTTTTATACTGGCCCCCCGTGGGAATCGAACCCACAACCCTGGCGTTGCAAACGCCATGCTCTACCAACTGAGCTACATCCCTTCCGGAAATTCCCTCCCCTACCCTGGACGACGCTGGGCCAATTGTGCGCCGCCCCATGGGTCTCCCGGTCGCGGCCGGCTACGACAGAGCCTGGAGCCTTCACCATAGGGATGATGCCAGGTTTCCTCCAGACGTGACGGTTGGCATTCAGGCCAAAGAGTTCAATCTTGTTTCTCATGGTCAGAGTCCTTTAGGTTGCTTTTGGTCAACTCCAAGTGGGCTGTCATGTGCCTTTTACTGAGGAGTGGCTTCTGTCTGGCCACTCTACCATAAAGACCTGATTGGTGGAATGCTGCAGAGATGGTTGTCCTTCTGGAAGGTTCTCCCATCTCCACAGAGGAACTCTGGAGCTCTGTCAGAGTGACCATCGGGTTCTTGGTCACCTCCCTAAACAAGGCCCTTCTCCCCCGATTGCTCAGTTTGGCCGGTTTGCCAGCTCTAGGAAGAGTCTTGGTGGTTCCAAACTTCTTCCATTTAAGAATGATGGAGGCCACTGTGTTTTTGGGGACCTTCAATGCTGCAGAAATTTTTTCGTACCCTTCCCCAGATCTCTGCCTCGACACAATCCTGTCTTAGCTCTATGGACAATTCCTTTGATCTCATGGCTTGGTTTTTGCTCTGACATGCACTGTCAACTGTGGGACCTTGTATAGACAGGTGTGTGCCTTTCCAAATCATGTCCAATCAATTGAATTTACCACAGGTGGACTCCAATCAAGTTGTAGAAACAAAACATTTGCAAGCATTTCTAAAAACCTGTTTTTGCTTTGTCATTATGAGGTATTGTGTGTAGATTGATGAGGAAAAACATTAATTTAATCCATTTTAGAATAAGGCTGTAATGTAACAAAATGTGGAAAAAGTCAAGGGGTCTGAATACTTTCCGAATGCACTGTATATAAACCATCCCAGTATAAGCAATAATGTATACAATATACCAAAGGATGAAAGAAAGAGAGAAAGAAAATGGAGAGAAATGGATAGATGGATGAATGTGGATGGATACATTGACAGTTTGTGTTCTTGTTGAGTGTGTGTGTCTGTGTGTCTGTGTGTGTGTGTGTTTGTGTGTACAGGTGTCTGTGTATCTGTGTGTGTGAGATGATGCTGGTGTGTTTGTATTTTTGAGTATTCTTAGGGAGCTTTCTGAGGACTTTCTGACAGGCATTATCAAAGACTCCCTCAGCAGGGGTCCTCACATTGTCTGAGACGCCACTCACTTGTTGCAGGTTTTGATGTTCTCCACTTATCTCCCCCCTACAGAGTGTCACACTCAACGCAAATAGAGGAGAGAAGGAGAGAGAGAGGTGAGGAGGGAGAGAGAGGTGTGGAGAGAGCGAGAGAGAGAGAGAGAGAGAGAGAGAGAGAGAGAGAGAGAGAGAGAGAGAGAGAGAGAGAGAGAGAGAGAGAGAGAGAGAGAGGTGAGGAGACAGACAAAGAGGGAGAGAGAAAAGAGGAGAGAGGGACATTTTATATGAGTGATATTCCCTCTGTGTGTTATGTGTAACCACATCCTGCACAGTAATGCTCTCATCTAGAAGTGAATGTCACACGGAGTGGGATCTAAAAGGACTGTGATAATTAGTGTGTGTGTATGTTTATTATTTTATTTAACCTTTATATGACCTGTCGGTGGGTGCTTGGGTTGGTGATTTTAGGGCTACTATAAAAACTGTAATGGATTATTTTTTGTAATGGATTGGAAAGGAGAGACAGAGAGAGATACAACAGAAAGGGTAAAGTAGAGAGAAAGTGAAAGAGAGGATAAAAATAAAGAAAGAGGGTGGGTGGAAATGGGAAATGAGGACACATGAATGAGACAGGGAGAGGGGGAAAGAGAAAGAGTGGATAGAAGAAAGAGGGAATGAGGGACTGGGGGCTTGGGAGAGAGGAGTGGGAAAGAGAGGAGGAAAAAGAGAAGAGAAGGAGAGACGGAGGGAGGGAAGGAGAGAGGAGAGGGACTTTGTTCATTATAAAGCCGTCACTCACGGGAGCAGCCAGACAGCCTCCTCAGAGACCCAGTCTGCTCAGCATAGTGTGTGTGCGTGCCTGCGTGTAAGTGAGTGTTTGTGTGTATGTGCGTGGGCAAATGTGTGTGTGTATGTGTGATGAATGTTCTCTGTAGCCCATGATGACAGAGATAGATGTGACGGGTGCGTCTCACGGCCAACCAGGCGACAGGGGCGGGTCCCCGCAGGCCAAGCTGAAGGTTATGTGGCGCAGGCCGCGTCCACCAATGACAACCCAGCATTGGGGAAGGGTGTGTGTGTTCCTGCATGCATGCGTGCGTGCCTTTGTGTGTCTGTGTGTGTGTGTGACAGTAGTTTTAGAAAGTGCACTGGTATGTGAGGGAGTGTGTGTAAGGATGGTGGCAGAGGAAGAGAGTCTGTATCAGAGGCTACGTTTAGACAGGCAGACCAATTCTGATATTTTTTCCACTAATTGGTCTTTTGACCAATCAAATCAAATCTTTCCACATCAGATATTTTTCAGAGCTGATCTGGAAACACACACACACACATCTGATGTTCCAGAAAACATTCATCAGGCAAAGATCAGATATGTGTGCGTGTGTGTACGTGCATATGTGCGTACATGCATGTGTGCGTGCGTGCATGTGTGAGATTGTTAGGGTCTCTGCGTGTAGGGTAAACACAAGGAGAGCTTGGGAAGAATTCTGATGAGAGGATTTGCAACAGTTGGCATGGAAACAGAATTAGCCAGCTACATGAGCCAGTGTTAGCATTTTAACGCCTTTTGGGCTGCAGGGTGATCATCAAATCAAATCAAATGTATTTATAAAGCCCTTTTTACAACAGCAGATGTCACAAAGTGATATACAGAAACCCATATTTGATATTTGGTTTGGTTTTAAAGTAAAGGTAAACAATGCATACCTTTCCCTACTGCAGATGGAATTGTAATGACGGCAGTAACTTTCCGTCAATATCCAATGACAATGGCAATCTGTAAGTGGATAGGATACAGCTTGAAAGATGTGTCACTCAGGACATTGTTAACACCTTCAAAACAACATGACAGAAATGACACTGCAGAAAAAATAATTTGCTTTCATGAGTATTGGCCTGAGATTCTTGTCAGGCTTTGAGGTTCTCTCTCTCTGTGTGTGTGTGTGTGTGTGTGTGTGTCTGTGTCTGTGTCTGTGTCTGTGTGTGTGTGTGTGTGTGTGTGTGTGTGTGTGTGTCTGTGTGTGTGTGTGTGTGTGTGAGTGGTTAATGGGTGTTAATATAATTAACATGTGTGTGGTGTTTTGGGTGTTTACTGTCATCAGACACAGCTGTTGGTAGTAAGGAGATTATTTTGTTAAGACGTATGTATGTGTGTGTTAGATCTACCTTTGGCTCCAGCTCTCCTTCAAATTCCTCTTCCCACTGTCTCTATGTGTGTCTGTCTCCAGCAACACTTTCACACACAGTTACAGTAGCGATACAACACATACTTTGTTAACCTGAGAGTCAGAGCAGAACAGAACATGGCCTTTTTCTAACAGAGAGAAGAGAAATACCTGGAACCTACAGTATATGAATGCTGCCTTAGTTTTATTAGCAATGTCTCGACTGATGAAGACCCTTAGTGGTTGAAGCGATGCTGATATATCTAAACTGCATGATATTTTTTCCTATGGCTTTTTTACGTATGTGTGTGCATGCGTACGTGTGTGCGTGGGGCGTGTGTGTGTGTTTAAAGGGAGGGGTCAGGTATTCCTATCAGGACTGAGTTTCTGGACTAGGTCCCTGGTGTGTCCCTGGTAGTCTGGTCCCTGTATACACACACACAGTATTCCTGATATGTGGATGTGTCGCACTGTGTGCTCAGAGCATTCCATCACTGGTTTCCACAGGGACTGACTGGCAGTAACTTCCTAAGAATCGATCTTCCCAACCACACTCTCAGTGTATGTGTGTGTGTGTGTGTGTGGTGTGTGTGTAATTTGTGTCAGCCTGTTGTTTCAGCTGAGGTCTTTCTTTTGCATTTTAACGGCTCTTTGGGGGCAAGTCTTTAATTGCACTTGCGCTCTCTCGCTCTCTCGCCCTCTCTCTCTCGCCCTCTCTCTCTCTATCTCTCTCTCTCTCTCTGACAGTGCACAGGGGACACACAGCCATTGGTTGTTTGAGTTAATGAATAGATTAATAAATGAACACACACAGGGAAAACCCATCATCCTAAGTGCCTTCTCTGTGTGTGTGTGTGTGTGTGTGTGTGTGTGTGTGTGTGTGTGTGTGTGTGTGTGTGCATGCATGCATGCCTGCGTGTGTGTTCTTGCTATTCTTTGTAGTACATTTCAAACAGCTGATTGTCCATTCCATTTCCCAGTGTTGAGCAACAAGAGAGTGATATGAGAGAAAGGAGAATGTTAAAGGTGAAAGATAGCATAGAGGAAAGGGAATGGTGACATGTTTGTGTTTGCATGGAGGTAAAGGGGGGATTTAGGCGTGTATTTGACATTTCCTTAAGTTTATGAAGTGTGTGTGTGTGTGTGTGTGTGTGTAGCACCATCTTGTCATTGTCACACGGCATATGTATTGTCTTAAGGTCTCTCTCATAGTTTAAAGTGGAAGAGGAGGAGACAGAAAAGAGGGAAAGGTGGATAGAGAAAGAGAGTGATGGTTAGAGAGGGACTGAAGGGTCAGCTCAGGATAGCTGAAGAGTGGAGCGAGGGCTCTATATGTTATCTACACAGACACTTTCAGAGTGAACCTTTCTGCTCTCAGTGCACACACACATACACACATACACACACTTCAGGTAAGAAGGTGAGGAGAGATAAGAACAGTGTGTGTGTGTGTTTGTGCATTTGTGTGTGCTCTGAGCTTATGGGAGATAACTTTTTGTCCGCAGTGGAGGGGGACCAGGGTCGATCAGAGTGTCTGATTGGTTGTTGCTCCAGATCGTCTTTAATCTCTCTCCTGACTGGCTGCTCAGTGGCCAGGGCTCCTGAGTGTCACTATGGCGATAAGAGAGTGACAGGCTGGCAGTGGTCATCAGCAGGTCATCTAGAAACATCCTCAGTGTTTTATTTCTCTCTCACACACACACACACACACACACACACGCACACGCACGCACACACGCACACACACACACACACACACACACACACACACACACACACACACACACACACACACACACACTATATCAAGGTCTCTAATGTCTCTCTCTCTCCAGGAGATTGCAGCGTATCTGATCACATTTGAGAAACATGAAGAATGGCTGACGACATCACCCAAGACCAGGTAAAACACACACACACGCGCGCACACACACTAATGTATGGTAACACATGCAGAACATACTCAATACCTTTACTATCTAGAAGTGTGAGAATGTTAAATTATAAAATCCTAGTCAGCTATAAATGTTGCATTAACGAATGTAAATGTATGATGATAAGTGATGTATAATTCAGGTTTTATGGGGGACGTGTGTGTTTAAGGGTGAGGTTAGTAGGATTTCACATCTGAAATTGAATATGCATAAGCATAACTGCAATCGAGAGAGAGAGAGAGAGAGAGAGAGAGAGAGAGAGAGAGAGAGAGAGAGAGAGAGAGAGAGAGAGAGAGAGAACTTCATTCACAGACTGCAGTATATGTCAAATCATTATCTCCTAACCATAGACCCCTAATCTCAAAACACTGTGATGTAGATCTGAAGGGATTGATTAGATGTAAGGACAATTTGTCAACTTCCATCAGAGGTCGAGGTGGAGCTATTACCATATAGTCTATATCAATTTAATCATATGCCTAGGCCTAGGGGATATGCGCAATGGGTCGATCTGGGATTGGGTAACTCTCACATTCGGCTGAGTTTTAATCCAGTTAACATCTGACTGGAGATCTGCCTGCAGCCAGCTGCTAGATTTATGATAATTGGTTATGACACTCCCAGGCCTAGCAGTCTGATGGATGACAGCTATCGACAGTCACATTAATCCATTCAATTTAGAACACATAGTGAAATGGAGCCAGATTATGGTAGATTACAGCTAATCCCACTGGTCTGGGGTTGGGGTTTGGGTTTGGGTGAACTATATGCTGCGTTATACATTATGTACTACAAGCCTTGAGTTTTCCATGACCTGACTTAGAAAAACACTGGATCCTATTGTATGCAGAGTTTTTTCTGCATAGAAAAGTCTTAGGCGGGCTGATTACAGTTTTTTACAATCACTTTGGCACTAATTTCAGAACCTTGACGTCATTTTTCAAAACTCTAGACACAAAACTCAAAACGGTCATCACTTGTAACACAGGCTGTCCAATGTTCAAAACATTGCATTGTGCATTCATATCTTTAAAGAAATCTTGCACTTGCACAATCATTGGTTCAAAAAACAAATTTATTGTGAAATACCAATGAAACGTTAATTTAGATCACCCACACACAAGCAACCGATAGTTTCACTGTGTCATTGTTCGTACGATCATTAAATATTGTAGTACAAAATAGGTGATACATGTTTCATTATGGTACTACATGTAAATACATCCCTGTAAAAGTACTGCAGTAGTAGAGAGAATACTACAGATACAGTGGAATCATTGAACAAAATCTGAAACATATTGATGAAAAACAATACATTACTGTAAAACATCAAATGCAGTGTTCCTCAACTTGCTTGCTTGTACTGTAAAAAGCAAAACATAGGAGTGATTACTGTACTTCTACATTTTCATCAACTCTGTCTTGTGGTTTTGGCCACAGGTTCTCATCTACATCACAATGGATGTTTTCATTAGCCAAACATCTTGGAAAAAACCTTTGGCCATGGCGAATCCAGGCCTGACACTGGTCTGCCGTGATGTCATTGCATGCGTCATCCATGGCCTGGAGAGAGTGAGTTGTTCATGAGGGCGCCTATCATAAACCTTCCATCTCCATGTGGAGAAAAATTCCTCAATCGGGTTAAGGAAAGGAGAGTATGGGGGTAAATACAGGGTGGTAAATTGTGCATGGGCCTGAAACCATGCTTGCACCATATGAGCATGGTGGAACCTGACATTATAATAATATATAATATAATATGCCATTTAGCAGACGCTTTTATCCAAAGCGACTTACAGTCATGCTGCATATTTTTTTTGTATGGGTGGTCCCCGGAGATCGAACCCACTACCTTGGCGTTACAAGCGCCGTGCTCTACCAGCTGAGCTACAGATGGATGACAGCTATCGACAGTCTGATGGAAGTTGACAAATTATCCCACACAATGACATAGGTCCGCCACAGCTCTACAGGCTGATCCAGGCTCATCAGGAAGGTTACAAGCGGGACCATAGAAACGGTGTCTGATAAAGAATGATGATGAAATATTACATCCATAGATAATGTAGTCTAATTGGTTCATGCTCCACGCTAATTGGTGACAATGAATCTCGTTACTTTGAAACTTTCATGATCTAAACATGGAATATTGTTTGTCTGTTTCCATACAACTATGCATTAAGAGCAATGCAACAGTTACTTATCATTTATGAGCAGTTGTATCAATTGATAGTTGGATAATTGTAATGAAATGAATAGACACTCATCTGAAATGTAATGTGTGAATTGCCTTTTGAAATAGTAGTACTTTGATGTTAAGTTGTGTCATATTGAACAGGTGACTTTTGTTAAATGAACAAATGATCTTAGTTTTATGTGTATTGTATCCAAGCAATTGTAAAAAGTGTTAGAGTTTTGAAAAATGTGCATTTTGATCATTGGTTGTGAGTTTTGTGTCTAGAGTTTTGAAAAATGACGTCAAGGTTCTGAAATTAGTGCCAAAGTGATTGTAAAAAACTGTAAGTGTTTTTTCGGGCCGCCTAAATCCAACAGTGTAAAAATTACTTTCTGTGTTAATTTAAACGACTAAAACCAGATATAAATTATGTAGAAAACACAATGTACCTACACTACCAGTCAAAGGTTTGGACACACCTACTCATTCCAGGGTTTTTCTTTATTTTTACTATTTTCTACATTGTAGAATAATAGTGAAAACATCAAAACTATGAAAGAACACACATGGAATCATGTAGTAACCAAAAAAGTGTTAAACAAATCAAAATATATTTTATATTTGAGATTCTTCAAATAGCCACCCTTTGCCTTGATGACAGCTTTGCACACTCTTGGCATTCTCTCAAATGGCTTCCTGAGGTAGTCATCTGGAATACATTTCAATTAACAGGTGTGCCTTCTTAAAAGTTAATTTGTGGAATTTCTTTCCTTAATGCGTTTGAGCCAATCAGTTGTGTTGTGACAAGGTAGGGGGGTATACAGAAGATAGCCCTATTTGCTAAAATACCAAGTCTATATTATGGACAAGAACAGCTTAAAATAAGCAAAAATAAACAACAGTCCATCATTGCTTTAAGACATGAAGGTCAGTCAATACGGAACATTTCAAGAACTTTGAAAGTTTCTTCAAGTGCAGTCGCAAAAACCATCAAGCGCTATGATGAAACTGGCTCTCATAAGGACCGCGACAGGACTGGAAGACCCAGAGTTAACTCTGCTGCAGAGGATAAGTTCATTAGAGTTACCAGCCTCAGAAATTGCAGCCCAAATAAATGTTTCACAGAGTTAAAGTAACAGACACATCTCAACATCAACTGTTCAGAGAGGACTGTGTGAATCAGGCCTTCATGGTCGAATTGCTGCAAAGAAACCACTACTAAAGGACACCAATAAGAAGAAGAGACCTGCTTGGGCCAAGAAACACGAGCAATGGACATTAGACCGGTGGAAATTTGTCCTTTGGTCTGAAGTCCAAGTTGTAGATTTGGGTTCCAACCGTCATGTCTTTGTGAGACGCGGTGTGGGGGAACGGATGATCTCTGCATGTATATTTCCCACCGTAAAGCATGGAGTAGGAGGTGTTATGGTATGGGGGTGCTTTTGCTGGTGACACTGTCTGTGATTTATTTAGAATTCAAGGCACACTTAACCAGCATGGCTACCACAGCATTCTACAGCGATATGCCATCCCATCTGGTTTGGGCTTAGTGGGACTATCATTTGTTTTTCAACAGGACAGTGACCCAACACACCTCCAGGCTGTGTACCTGGCCTCCACAATCCACCGACCTCAACCCAATTTAGATGGTTTGGGATGAGTCGGACCTCAGAGTGAAGGAAAAGCAGCCAACAAGTGCTCAGCATATGTGGGAACTCCTTCAAGACTGTTGGAAAAGCATTCCAGGTGAAGCTGGTTGAGATAATGCCAAGAGTGTGCAAAGCTGTCATCAAGGCAAAGGGTGGCTATTTGAAGTTTCTCAAATATAAAATATACTTTGATTTGTTTAACACTTTTTTGTTTACTACATGATTCCATATGTGTTATTTCAAAGTTTTGATGCCTTCACCCTTGAATGAGTAGGTGTGTCCAAACTTTTGACTGGTAATGTATATACTTTTTCAATAATAAATTTTGAGAACTGACAATCACTAAAATAAAATCTAGACAAAAAAACTATGACTTGACAATTGATTTTGTTATAATGTTTGAGCACAAGAACACTGCATTAGCCATGGCAAAATGAATAGAATAGCAGAAAATGTGCTTTAAAACTGCAGAATTTCCTCTCAGCTCCATGGCAGAATGTATAGAATTTCAGGAAATTATCTTATAAACTGCAAGATTTCTCTCAGCTGCATGGAAAACATTTGTAGAATTGCAGGAAATTGGTTTTAAAACGCTCAAATTCTTTCTGCTGCCAAGATGGGGGCGTCAAAAATGTTATTGCCCAGCTGCACCGATGAGCTAACCATGCCCATTGCCACGCCCCCGGCCACCTCTACCACCTAAGCCCCTTTTTGATCCAGAAAAAACCCTGATATGTTGTTTAGAACAGTCTTATAGCAGGATCATATCAGGGTTATAACAGTCTTATAGCAGGATCATATCAGGGTTATAACAGTCTTATAGCAGGATCATATCAGGGTTATAACAGTATTATAGCAGGATCATATCATGGTTATAACAGTCTTATAGCAGGATCATATCAGGGTTATAACAGTATTATAGCAGGATCATATCATGGTTATAACAGTCTTATAGCAGGATCATATCAGGGTTATAACAGTCTTATAGCAGGATCATATCAGGGTTATAACAGTCTTATAGCAGGATGATATCAGGGTTATAACAGTATTATAGCAGGATCATATCAGGGTTATAACAGTCTTATAGCAGGATCATATCAGGGTTATAACAGTCTTTTAGCATGATCATATCAGGGTTACAACAGTCTTATAGCAGGATCATATCAGGGTTATAACAGTCTTATAGCAGGATCATATCAGGGTTATAACAGTCTTATAGCATGGATCGATATCAGGGTTATAACAGTCCTTATAGCAGGTATCATACAGGGTTATCAAAAGGCCTTAGAGCAGGATCACTATCATGGTTATAACCGTCTTTAGGCAGGATCATATCAGGGTTCATACAGTCTTATAGCAGGATCATATCAGGGTTATAACAGTCTTATAGCAGGATCATATCAGGGTTATAACAGGTGTGGTATAGCTGTTCTCAGTGCTGTGTCTTGATAAGTGGAGACAGACAGACACTCCACCAGCAGTCACCTTCACACTCCTCGCCTCCCAGTCCCAACATACCTCATCAACTCCAGCTAATGACTGTTTTAAAAACCAATCACACTCCCCCAACACGCCTTCCTCCTCCTCTCTTCTCTCCTCTCCAATCCTGTCCCGTCCATTTCTTATGAACATCTACTTTTCCACCTGTCTCATACGCTCTCTCTCTCTCTTTCCCTTTCTCATACTCTCTCTCTCTCATCCTCTCTCCTCCTCTTCTCTCTCTCTCTCCTCTCTCTCTCTCTCTCTCCTCCCCTCTCTCTCTCTCCTCTCTCACTCATTCAACCCCATGGGATACAACAGCTCAGAAAGTTTTCTCAAGGATGAGATCACCTAGTGCAAGGACACTCAGAGGACACATGGACACTCATGAATGCACACACACACACACACACACACACACACACACACACACACACACACACACACACACACACACACACACACACACACACACACACACACACACACACACACACACACACACATCCGGGTAAGTTCTTGACTGCACATTTTATTTAGCAATAAGGACGATACACACAGAAACAGCGATCTTCTCTTCCTCGTCCTCTAGCTCTCACAAACTCAGGAAATGCTTTTTATATCCCATACAGCTTGGCGCTTTTTGAATCAATAGCATATGTAATGTCTTGTTGAATCAGGGGGTAGGTTTGAGTGTGTGTGTTTGTTTGTGTGTGTGTGTGTGTGTGTGGTTGAATCAGAGAGAAGGTTGGTACACACATCCTTCATCTTTATATCTTCTCTATAACATAATTAGAATCAACAACGGTGGGATGAGTCACAGCAGCCGCAAGACAGAGACTGAAGTCAGCTTTGATCTGAGGGGGGCTCTGCTCTACAGAGAAACACATTGAAACACAACACATTTAAGGTGTCAAAGAAAATGAGCTCAAAGTACACTAAATTTCACTGAATTATCATAATCTCTGGTAATGTACTTTTACTGAAGAATGAACAAAAATAAAGGAAATGATGGGAGGGGATGAAAGGAGAGGAATAAAGGAGAGGAGAGGAAAAAGAAAAGAAAGAAAGAATGGGAGAGATGAAAGGGAGGAAGGAGATGGAGAGAATGAAGGGGAGGAGGGATTGGACTCATGCAAGGACGATGGATCCGATTTTCTTCTTCCCTTTTCGGGTCTAGGCGCTTTTCGCCTTCCTTTGCGCGCTCTCTCTTGCGTCTCCTTCCTTCTTCTCGTCGCTTTGCTTCCTTCCCGTTTCTTCTCTCTTTTTCTCTCCTTCCGGTTCTGCTCGAGCTTGCTCTCTCTTACCTGCTCTTCCCTGGCGCACCTGCTCTTTTCTCTCCTTCCCTGGGTCTGAGAGGGATGGGTTTGTGTGTGGAGGTTTGACTGTTGTGACCGGGATGGGTTCTGCTCTGTTGTTAGGAGTAGGCAGAAATCCTCCCCCACCTCTCTCTCGGTCTCTCTTCATCTCCTCACTCTCCTCTCTCTCTCTCTCTCCCTCTCTCTCTCTCTCTCTCTCCTCTCTCCTCCTCTCTCTCCTCTCTCTCTCTCTCTCTCGTCTGCTCTCTCTCATCTCCTCTCTAGTTTCTTCTCACATCCTCACCAGACACTACACACCTGGTTCAGTAATGTGGTGTGGTGATTGAGGAGCTCCAGGGATGACATTGAGCTCATAGAACCCAGGAGGAGATTGACACTCTGTGTGTGTATGTGTTTGTGTGTGGTGTGTGTGTGTGTGTGTGTGTGTGTGTGTGTGTGTGTGTGTGTGTGTGTGTGTGTGTGTTGTGTGGTGTGTGTGTGTGTTTGGTGTACTTCACAGGTTTGAGGAATAGGAGCTGAGTGAACAGTTTTCCCGTGGTGCAGCTAAAGCACCCTGCTAAAATATCAACGTGCATGTGTGTGAGCTAATACGTTAGCATATGTATGAGCTTGTGTGTGTGAACATCAAACACAGAGGGGTGATATGACAGAGAGATTCATAGAACCACATTCATAGAACCACACAATCAGTGGTGAGCAGTGTGCATTTTTGTTAATCCAAGAATAGCTGGTTTGTCCAAGAATAACCTGTTTCTGTTATTTGTCAGTTAGCTAATTACTTTGTTGTTGAGATTGTTGTGATGGTTGAGAGAGAAACTGCATACGCAGTTGTGATGCACTGTGGATAGCAACAGACTGTCTTCTTCTTCTACTTATATCATGCAATCACCATAGAAACACTCCCTTTAGTAATATGAGAGTAATCTACAGAGTATTAATACGTGTTGTTGATATAGCTCTCCCTCCACCTCTCTTTTCCTCTTACTTCACTCTCTCTCCCTCCCTCTCCCTCTTCCTTCTCCCTCCCACTCCTTCTCCCTCCCTCTTCCTTCTCCCTCCCTCTCCCTCTTCCTTCTCCTCCCTCTCCTTCTCCCTCCCTCTTCCTTCTCCCTCCCTCTCCTTCTCCCTCCCTCTTCCTTCTCCTCCCTCTCCTTCTCCCTCCCTCTCCTTCTCCCTCCCTCTCCTTCTCCCTCCCTCTTCCTTCTCCTCCCTCTCCTTCTCCCTCCCTCTTCCTTTCCTTCTCCTCCCCTCCCTCCTCCCTCTTCCTTCTCCCTCCCTCTCCTTCTCCCTCCCTTCCTTCTCCCTCCCTCTTCTCCTTCTCCCCCTCCCTTTCCCCTTCTCCTCTTTTCCTTCTCCTCTCCCTCTTCTTCTCCTCTCTCTCTCCCTCTGCTTCCCCTCCCTCTCCATCCTCTGCCCTCTCTACCCTGACTCCTCTCCCCCCCCGTCTCCCCTCTCCCCTCTCTCTCTACTCTCTACCCCTCTCTCTCTCTCTCCCTCGCTATCTCCCAGGCCCCAGAATGGCTCGATGATCCTGTACAACAGGAAGAAGGTAAAGTACAGGAAGGATGGCTACTGCTGGAAGAAGAGGAAAGATGGGAAGACCACCAGAGAGGACCACATGAAGCTCAAAGTACAGGGAGTTGAGGTGAGTGCACACACACACACGCACACACACACACACTCACACACACACTCATACATACAGATGGAAGACCACTAGAGAAGGCCATACAAAAGTAGAGAAATTGGAGGGCAAGGGAGAGAGGGAGGGATGGATGGAGGGAGAGAGGGAGGGAGGGAGGGAGAGGGAGAAGGAGGGAGAGAAAGAGAGAGAGAGAGAGAGAGAGAGAGAGAGGGAGGGAGGTGAGAAGAAGAAAATAAATGGAAAAAGAGGGAACAGAGTGGGATGGATTGACTGGACTGAGCGCTCGCTCCTGCTCTCCCTCTCTCTCTGTGCATCAATCTCTAACATCTCCCCCTAGCTGTTTCTTATGTTACCAATATAACACACACACACACAGTACACACACGCACACACATGCACACACACACTCTCGAAGGATAAGTGTGTGTTTGACTTCAGGCCAGAGATGATGTCAATGCCTCCTTCAGCAGGAACAGAGAGGGATATCGATCCAGTCTCAAGGCAATGTCTGTGTGTATGTGTGTGTATGTGTGTGTGTGTGTGTTTGTGTGTGTGTGTGTGTGTCTCCATGTCCATGTGTATGTGTGAGTCACATGCTACAGCTATAAAAATGATTATTCAGCAGTAATAGTACACAAGCGGTGAGCCAGGAATGTGACAGACAGGCGAGAGAGAATGATCAGGAGAGAGGGAGGAAGGAGAGGGATGGATAATAAAAGAGAGGGGAAAGAGGGAGGATGAAGAAGAGAAACAGCCTGTGGATAGATAGACCCTTAAACACAATGGAAATGTATGGAAATGCACTTTGCCTTTGGCTACAGAGAGAGAGAAGAGAGGTGGAGAGAGAGAAGCATCAAGGTCATCACCGCTATCATGCCTCATCCAATAGAAGCTCTCTCTCTCTCTACTTGTGTGACATCATCCTCTGCTGGGGACAGTGTACATTGCAGGCTTTGTTAATCTTCATCCTCCACACCTTTTGAACATGGTTCACTGTCATGGCAGTATGCACTGCCGAACGTGACTGTGTGTGTGTGTGTGTGTGTGTGTGTGTGTGTGTGTGTGTGTGTGTGTGTGTGTGTGTGCGTATGTGTGGTGTGTGTGCGTGTGTGTGTGCGTGTGTGTGTGTGCGTGTGCGTGTGTGTGTGTGTGTGTGTGTGTGTGTATATGTAACTCTAACCATGTCCTCTCTCTCAGTGTCTGTACGGATGTTACGTCCACTCCTCCATCATCCCTACCTTCCATCGCAGATGCTATTGGCTGCTCCAGGTAAGCCCCTCCCACATCAGCCATACAACCACTATCCTAATAAATTGCACTCTTTATAACCTCAATGGCTTTAGACTGTTGTGAAACTGGAGCTTGCTAACACTAGGGGCACGTGAAGGTAATGTATTTGAATTGGATCTGACACTGATCCAATGTGCACTTATCATGAGTCGACTGTACTCATCCTGAATGGAAAGAGAATGCCCAGAGGCAGCAACATGGCGGCCAGATCTTATGCCTGAATTGGAATTAATAACTGAAATGTCAACAAAGTTGAGCTCCCAGAATGAGCCTGGTTGGTTTTGGCATCTCTGTCTAGATGTATTACTGTAACTGACTGACCTAGCCAGACTCCACTGGGCTGGAAGAGTAGAGGCGTACACCCTGGCTGGCTTTTTCAAGGAAATACCCAGAGTGGGTGAGTCATTACAACTGAGGGAGTTTAGACTAATGGCACAGTGACACTCTGACATACACACTCTGACACACACATACACACACACACACATTGCTCTCCCTTTAGTATAGTAATATATAGTAATAGAATAATATTTATAAACTGGGTGGTTCAAGCCCTGAATGCTGATTGACTGACAGCCATGGTATATCAGACCGTATACCACGGGTATGACAAAACATTACTGCTCTAATTATGTTGGTAACCAGTTTATAATAGCAGTAAGGCACCTCTGGGGTTTGTGGTATGCAGCCAATATACCACGGCTAAGGGATCTATCCAGGCACTCCGTGTTGCGACTAAGAACACCATTAACATATACCACACCCCCTCTGGCCTTATTACTTAAACATGCCATTTAGCAGACACTTCTATCCAAAAACGACTTACAGTCATGCGTGCTTACATTTTATGTATGGGTGGCCCAGCAGGAATCAAACCCACAACCCTTGACGTTGCAAGCTCCATGCTCTACCGACTGAGCCACACAGGACCGCGCATAGGAATGTTATTTATTCATAGAGATGTTTGACTCACTCTGCTGCTCATATGAGGGACAGACAGAGGGCCCCATTCAACCTGACACACACACACACACGCGCGCACACACACACACACAGGAACAGGAACAGGAACACACACACACACATACCTCACCCTGCTGCTCATGTGAAAGACAGGCAACATGATGGGTCTTTAACCATGCCTGTGCAGGCACACACACACACACACAGACACACACTCAAGGATGCATCCATCCACACACATGCATACTCCCTACTCACTCAGCAGGGTTTGAACCTTAACCGTGTGTGTGCTGAATCTTTCATACACTCCTAGAGCCAGAGCTGAGTGAGCAGTAGTCAATTATTATGGGGGTTCAAACACACACACACACACACACACACACACACACACACACACACACACACACACACACACACACACACACACACACACACAGCGGGGTTGAGATGTTTAAACTTTTATGAGATGACAGGTGAGAATCTCTCCTCTGACACGTAATGCCTGACCTATTTGACCTCCACTTTCCTTTTCCTTTACTCCCTTGCTTCCTCTCTCCTCCCCCACCTTTCCTTACCTCTCCTCCCCCACCTTTCCTCACCTCCCTTCACCCACCGTCTCCTCTGACCTTCACATGTACCTCTCCACACTGACTCTCTCTCTCCTGCTCTCTTCTTTCTTTCTCTCTCTCACTCACATCCTCTCTCAGGGGAACATCGGTTTCACCATCTTTAGCATTGCTGATATTTATATTCAGTAGTGAAACCCCAGGTTGTCTGGTATTACGGGGTTGCTGTCTGTGGGGAGTTTGTGTTCATGCTTTATGCAATTTTTTGCTACCAGTGTCATCTGGCTGAATGAATGATTCACATTGACATAATGAACTATGCCAATAAAGATCAATTGAAAATGTGAATTCCTCTCTCTCCCCTTTTCACCAATTATCTTCTCACCTCTATGTTTCTTTGTCTCACCTCTCTGTACATTATCTGAATTGTGCCCATAAAGGTTTTCTAAAAATGTAATATGAATCTCTCCCTCTCTGTGTAGAACCCAGACATTGTGTTGGTGCACTACCTGAACGTGCCAGCGGTGGACGACAGTGGGAAGCCGTGTGGGCCTGTCCTCTGTTCCATCAACACAGACAGGAAGGAGTGGGCCAAGTGGAGCAAGGAGGAGCTCATTGGACAGCTCAAACCCATGTGTGAGTCACCTTTAACCCCTGACCTCTAACCCCTTGAAAACCGCATCTCCTCGCCTTGTTCTCCTTTCCCTCTCATCTTTAGTTGAGGTTTAAGTTCCTGACATCAGACAGCAGAGTGAAACAGTCCTAACAGACTAGATAGAACGTGCAAAGATCCCCATCCATCAGGATAAGGGAACAATGTCCATTTTACACATCACATATCTGTATCTGTCTTCATCCAATTTAATAAACCCTTGATAACTTATTTGTTATTCAGTGACATTCAGTTATCTATAATATGAGTTGTCATGGTGATAAGAGATCTGTTAGTGTCGTTCTGAATCTGCATCCAAATCTACATCACTATTCCACCCTCCTGTGTCCTCTAAGGCAGTTTGACTTTAGCAGAACACTGCTGCTCAGTGGCCATCAAAGAGACTGCAGGCTGAGAATCTGTGTGTGTGTGTGTTTGTGTGTGTGTGTGTGTGTGTGTGTGTGTGTGTGTGTGTGTGTGTGTGTGTGTGTGTGTGTGTGTGTGTGTGTGTGTGTGTGTGTTTGTGTGTAAAGCCTGACCGTCTGTCCTCAGACACAGGGGGGTGAAGAGCGTCTGCCCAAAATACCCTGCATGGATTATTCATGAGTGAGATAGAGCTGTGGTTTGGCCCACAAACCCAGAGGACTGCTTACGCTGGGTACAGCTCTGTCTGTGTTGAGTTGCATTTTTATGCACCCAACAGCCTTGGATTTAATTGTCAATCAGTTTCTACTGTTGATGTGTCTGCTTAATTAATCATTTCTGTTCAGGCAATGCTGGCCGTTGAGTTTTGAAATGAACTGACAATGGACCGAAATGTTTAAAAATACAAATTCTTTAATCAGTAATTTCAAGGTTGGTGTGGTTGACAGCAGTCTCTTCACTGTGTCCAGCCCACTAAACAATCACTAAAACAACTGCTAGAACTAGACAGTCAGGGAGCATTTAAAGACAATATTTTGCGGCTTATGACGACAAGCCAATATACACAATTTGCATTGCGGCTCTCCAAAAGAGAAAATGTGGCCCCCGGCCCTGGGGCAAAATCAGTCTTTTATCAATTCAGTGTGTAGTTCACATTTTGAACACATGGTGTCACCCTCACACTGTGTAGCATTTAGCGCTTCCTCAAGGTCTCGGGGGCATTCGAGAGATCTTACTAAGTGTTTATTGTCAAGTAAACTAGAAGAAGATATTCAACTTGAGTGTTAAAACTAATTTAATTATCTGAAATTGACAGGTGGTTATGTCCAAACTATCTGATCAGTACTGGATCACAAGTGACAAACAGCTGTCTCTGTATTCGTGTGCTGTGAATTGTAAGTTGTATGTGACAGTTGATAAACGATGTAGTGTATAATAGTGGTATATATCCATCTCCGTATCTCTGTCCTCTCTCTCTCTATCTCTCTCTGTCTCTAACTCCGTCTCCCTCTCTGTCTTCTCTCTCTCTATCTCTCTCTGTCTCTAACTCCGTCTCCCTCTCTGTCTTTCTCTCTCTCTATCTCTCTCTGTCTCTAACTCCGTCTCCCTCTCTGTCTTTCTCTCTCAGGTGCTGGGAGTAGCCTGCACCAGAAGTGCTCCACAGCCAAACACCGCATCATCTCTCCCAAAGTAGAAGCAAAGGCAGGAGGAGGGGCTGGGTCAGGGGCTGGGTCAGGGGCTGGGTCAGGAGCTGGGTCAGGGGCTGGGTCAGGGGCTGGGTTCAGGGGCTGGGTCAGGGGCGGGGTCAGGGCTGGTCAGGGGCTGGGTCAGGGGCTGGGTCAGGGGCTGGGTCAGGGGCTGGGTCAGGGGCTGGGTCAGGGGCTGGGTCAGGGCTGGGTCAGGAGCTGGGTCAGGGGCTGGGTCAGGGGCTGGGTCAGGGGCTGGCACTGGGACTGGGACTGGGACTGGGACTGGGACTGGGACTGGGTCAGGGGCTGGGTCAGGGGCTGGGTCAGGGGCTGGGTCAGGGGCTGGGAAAGGGGTAGGGACAGGCGCAGTGTCAGAGGTGCAGAACAGTGATGTGTCCGAGGGGCAGACAGAGCCCATTCCTGGAGTGGGGGCTAGGAGCAAAGGGGGGGATGAGAGGAAGAACGGCAGGCTGCCCAAATCCTCCCTGCTTCCCCAGAGCAGCATGGAAGTCTCCTCCACGTCCACCAATCAGGTGGAGGTTCCTGACACCACACAGAGCTCTCCACTGTCAATCACCAGCGACATGACTGCCGACAGTCCCGCCCTCAGCCTGGCCAGCAGCCTATCACAGAGCTCCGCTGCTGTGTTCATGTCCGAGGTTGCCACGGTAACAGGGGATTCTGTGTACACCGCAGAACATGCCCACCTGATTGGCTCCACCCATGGCGCCACCACCGCTGGGATTCTAGTGGCTGTGGCACCGGACACCCAACGCTTTGCATTCCCTAGGGGGGTGGGGTTAGGAGAGGAAGGAGGGGTGTTGGTCCTCTCAAACAGTCTGGACTCTGGAGGTTCTGGAGTCAACCTTCCTGAGACCAGCATGAACTTTGACCCGGACTGCTTCCTGAACAACCCCAAGCAGGGCCAGACATACGGGGGAGGAGGGGGGAAGGCCGAGGGAGGTAGCTGTAATGGTGAAGGGGGGCTCCGCTGCTCTCAACAGTCACTAACGGCTAATGGCTATGTCTTCAATGCAGAGCTCGTAAACAACATCAAGACTGAGGACACGCCCTTGGAGCAGCCGCTGGCCAATCAGAGCGGATACACTGGTGAGGGAGCGGGCCTGAGCCCCAGCACCACACTGGAGCAGATGGACTTCTGCGCTGTGATGTCATCAGCCTGCGCTCAGAGTTTAGCACAGCAGATACATCAACAATCCCCTAGTCTCTTCCTGCAGACCTCCCCCCAGAACCCCCTCGACCAGCCCACCCAGCCCCAGCCCCAGATCAGTGTCTCCGAGACAGGCCAGGAATCAGGCGAGACCCAGACTTATCTGGGCCTTCCTACAATACCACAGACTGACTCTCCAGGCACCAACCGAGACCCTCACACACACCTCCACCAACCCTCCCCAGACCAACATGGCCACAGTGAGGGAAGTGGGAAAGGGGGTCTGGAGAAGAGCAAAGACCGGCTTAGCATCAGGGGGTCTGGGAAGGTGGGGATACCAGAGAAAGAGCCACAGAAGAGTGCTGAGTTACCACTCAAGCCTGTGGAAGAGCATGAGGCCTACAGAAACAACACTAGTGTTGGGGGAGGTGGAGAGCACTACCTACAGCCAACAATCAATATTGGGGGAGTAGAGGGAGGACAAGAAGGAGGAGGAGAGAACAATATTTTCTGTAACGGGGTCAGGGATGTAGGAGTTAACAGCTCAGTGGTAGACAGTCCTCAATCTGTAGCTGGAGCAGCCATGGAGGGGGGGTTGTACAGCTCTACTCTTCCCCAGCCGGGTGTAGGGGAGGCTGGGGGAGCTGAGGGGGCAGGTGGGGGCATCAGCCTGGAAGGCTTCGAGGCATCGTTTGGGAACCAGTTCTCTGACCTCATCAATGACTTCATCTCTGTAGAGGGGGGGGGGGGGGGGGTGGTGGTCGGGACAGGGGGCAGTGCCCTTTACACCCCTGCTCTGATGCCCCAGGAAGGAGTTAGAGAGGGCCAGGGGGCGGGAACAGCTCCCATTCAGGGTTCAGAGGTGGAGCAGGAAACTCTGGGATTGCTGCCAGAGACGGGGAGGCTGTTAAGGGTGACTGACTACTCCCCCGAGTGGTCTTACCCAGAGGTGAGTCACTAGTGCCTAACCCTTAACCTCTGACCCCTAACCTCTCAAAGCCCTACTTCCTATTCCGTAGCTTTTGAATGGATATATCTATCACCCAAAGTAACTTATCTTATGGACCAACTTAGACATAGAAAGTAGTGTATAGATTATACTAGTATACCTGAACTGTCAACAACTGTCCCCTCAAGCATATAACTCATAAGGCCAGCGTGTCTCTCTTTACGTAGTAAGAGTCTGACGTAGATCCTCTGAGCCATTAATGACCTGACACACACACACACACACACACACACACACACACACACACACACACACACACACACACACACACACACACACACACACACACACACACACACTGTATGTGGCTCAGCTTTGACATCAGTGCCCAGTGGAAAGGGTGTAAGGTTTAGACTGAGACTAGGGAGACGTTAAGAAAGAGAACATACAGAATGGCATCATCCCCTTGGACGCTTTGACACACACACACACACACACACACGCACACACACACACACACGCACACACACACACACAGACACACAAAATCCCTGCATGTGTGTAAGCCTGTGTCTCTGTGTTTCAGGGTGGGGTGAAGGTGTTAATAACAGGTCCCTGGCTGGAGGCCAGCAGTGAGTACAGCTGTCTGTTTGACCACATCAGTGTACCAGCTGCTCTCATACAGCCAGGAGTACTGCGCTGCTACTGCCCAGGTAACACACACACACACACATACATGCATGCACTCAGCTATCTACTTTCTCATGCACACATTGCTAATCCCAACCCCTGTGTGTGTGTGTTTGTGTGTGTGTGTGTGTGTGTGTGTGTGTGTGTGTGTGTGTGTGTGTGTGTGTGTGTGTGTGTGTGTGTGTGTGTGTGTGTGTGTGTGTGTGTCTTAGCCCATGACACAGGTCTGGTGATGCTGCAGGTTGCTATGGGTGGCGATGTGATATCTTCCTCTGTAGTGTTTGAGTATAAAGCTAGAGACTTGCCCACCCTGCCCTCCTCACAACACGACTGGTTGTCCCTGGATGGTGAGTCACTGTGTGTGTGTGTGTGCAAGCCTGCCTGTCTATGACAGATGTTATGATGTCTTATGTAGCTGTGATGAAGGCTTCATTATACATGTATACATAGGGATGGGGGGGAGTGGGGCTATGATAAAGCGTTACCGAATAATCTTCTCAGATGCTAGTACAAAAGGTGAAACAGAGTGTACAGACAATTTATTGTTTTAAATGTATGAAAATATCTCTACATATTTGGGTTCCTGCATTTTGTTTCTGATCATGCCTTCCAATATGTTTAATGGGAGATTCCTCCATATTGTCTGGGGCCTGGATTTGCTAAGGGCTAGGGGCCATGGATATGAGCCAGAAATATATGGACAAGCGGTTGTTTTGGGAACAGATAACACTTACTCAGAGAGAGAATGTTGTAGGAGAGTGTCAAATCAAATCAAATTCAATTTGTCACATGCATTGAATACAACAGGTGTAGACCTTACTGTTAAATGCTTACTTACGAGCTCTTAACCAACAATGCAGAGTTTTTTAAAAGTAAGTAAGACACATTTTCTAAATAAACTACAGGAAAAATAGTAACACAATAACAATAACAAGGCTATACAGTGAGGGGAAAAAGTAGTTGATCCCCTGCTGATTTTGTATGTTTGCCCACTGACAAAGAAATTATCAGTCTATAATTTTAATAGTAGGTTTATTTGAACAGTGAGAGACAGAATAACAACAAAAAAATCCAGAAAAACACATGTCAAAAATGTTATAAATTGATTTGCATTTTAATGAGGGAAATAAGTATTTGACCCCCTCTCAATCAGAAAGATTTCTGGCTCCCAGGTGTCTTTTATACAGGTAACGAGCTGAGATTAGGAGCACACTCAAAGGGAGTGCTCCTAATCTCAGTTTGTTACCTGTATAAAAGACACCTGTCCACAGAAGCAATCAATCAATCAGATTCCAAACTCTCCACCATGGCCAAGACCAAAGAGCTCTCCAAGGATGTCAGGAACAAGATTGTAGACCTACACAAGGCTGGAATGGGCTACAAGACCATCGCCAAGCAGCTTGGTGAGAAGGTGACAACAGTTGGTGCGATTATTCGCAAATGGAAGAAACACAAAATAACTGTCAATCTCCCTCGGCCTGGGGCTCCATGCAAGATCTCACCTCGTGGAGTTGCTATGATCATAAGAACGGTGAGGAATCAGCCCTGAACTACACGGGAGGATCTTGTCAATGATCTCAAGGCAGCTGGGACCATAGTCACCAAGAAAACAATTGGTAACACACTACGCCGTGAAGGACTGAAATCCTGCAGCGCCCGCAAGGTCCCCCTGCTCAAGAAAGCACATATACATGCCCGTCTGAAGTTTGCCAATGAACATCTGAATGGTTCAGAGGAGAACTGGGTGAAAGTGTTTTGGTCAGATGAGACCAAATGGAGCTCTTTGGCATCAACTCAACACGCCGTGTTTGGAGGAGGAGGAATGCTGCCTATGACCCCAAGAACACCATTCCCACCGTCAAACATGGAGGTGGAAACATTATGCTTTGGGGGTGTTTTTCTGCTAAGGGGACAGGACAACTTCACCGCATCAAAGGGACGATGGGCGGGGCCATGTACCGTCAAATCTTGGGTGAGAACCTCCTTCCCTCAGCCAGGGCATTGAAAATGGGTCGTAGACGGCTATTCCAGCATGACAATGACCCAAAACACACGGCCAAGGCAACAAAGGAGTGGCTCAAGAAGAAGCACATTAAGGTCCTGGAGTGGCCTAGCCAGTCTCCAAACCTTAATCCCATAGAAAATCTGTGGAGGGAGCTGAAGGTTCGAGTTGCCAAACGTCAGCCTCGAAACCTTAATGACTTGGAGAAGATCTGCAAAGAGGAGTGGGACAAAATCCCTCCTGAGATGTGTGCAAACCTGGTGGCCAACTACAAGAAACGTCTGACCTCTGTGATTTCCAACAAGGGTTTTGCCACCAAGTACTAAGTCATGTTTTGCAGAGGGGTCAAATACTTATTTCCCTCATTAAAATGCAAATCAATTTATAACATTTTTGACATGCGCTTTTCTGGATTTTTTTGTTATTATTCTGTCTCTCACTGTTCAAATAAACCTACCATTAAAATTATAGACTGATCATTTCTTTGTCAGTGGGCAAACGTACAAAATCAGCAGGGGGATCAAATACTTTTTTCCCTCACTGTATACAAGCGGTACTGGTACTGAGTCAATGTGCAGGGGTATGAGGTAGTTGAGGTAATTGAGCTAATATGTACATGTAGGTGGGGGTAACGTGACTATGCATAGATAATAAACAGAGAGTAGCAGCAGCATGTGTGAAAAGTGTGAAGGAATGTGAATGTATGTATGTATGTGTGTGTGTGTGTGTGTGTGTGTGTGTGTGTGTGTGTGTGTGTGTGTGTGTGTGTGTGTGTGTGTGTGTGTGTGTGTGTTGGAGTGTCAGTGTAGTATGCGTGGGTGTGTGGTTCGAGTCCAGTAAGTGTACATTGTGAAACGTTGAGGCCCATTTCAGCACCACGGACAGCACCACTCATCTAGAGCCACTATGGCTGAGAACATTTGATAATTTTCCAAAAGGCCATACATTTTACCTGATGGGACTTGTCCCATACGTGTCTGATGGGACTTGTTTACTCAAGGCTGAATATGTTTAATACTGCAGCCTCCAGGGAACCTTTGTGTGGGGAATAACATAGCCTGTTTATAATGTGAACTGAAATGAGGTTTTTCTACATCTGTTGGTCAGAGGCTTAAGGCTCTGGCTTGATGGGATTTCTGTGTGTTTTGTTGTTTTTCGCCGTGTACAACATGAAGACAAATCTTAACAATTCTTGAATGGCAATAATATTTTCTGACTCTAAGAACCTCTAAGGGTTCAATTGTGTTCAGTGTTTCCAAAATGTTCCTCTTGCACAAAACATTCACTCTTGTGAGTGCTTGCAAAAAATAGTCTGTGCAACAAGGTGCTGTAATCCTTCCATGCCTGTAGTTCAGGGGCGTGTGTGTGTTTCACCTCGTTCGCTCCAGTCTATGTGATAGATACGCTAAGTGGCATGAGAGAGAGAGAGAGAGAGAGAGAGAGAGAGAGAGAGAGAGAGAGGAGAAGAGAGAGAGAGAGGAGATAGAGAGAGGAGAGAGACGAAGAGAGATAGATGAGAGAGAGAGAGAAGAGAGAGAGAGAAGGGGAGAGAACAAATCGACGTGCGGCAATGGGTCTACAGAAAGACGCACTGCTGTGGTCCACATAAAGAGAATATTCGCTCAATGTTTTGATGCTTTTATAGTTTTAATGCAGCTAAATGTCGACCGTAGTGGGTCTTCGTCAGGTTCCCGCCAGCTAAATGTCGACCGTAGTGGGTCTTCGTCAGGTTCCGCTCACATACACAAAGCGGAATAGGAGAGATAACCCTTTTAGAGTGCTGGAGCTGGGATGAATAGCAGTAATTTGTGCATAGCCGCTCCCAGCATAATCTCGACCAGACCAGAGAAGGAGAGGCGTAATATGGTCGCCCCATATTAGGCTGGTTCAGGCAGGTTTCCTTAAACTACCAAAATTGTAGAATGCACCAGACATTAAATAGCCATAATGGTAAAGTAGGCCTACGGCTTTCCCCCAGGAATATTTGCATTGTAGCCTACTCACGCCTCGGAGAATTCACTCGAACCTCTCCGTTCTGTGCCTTTGTTTGAAAAGCGATCAGACTATTCTACTGTGTCTGACTCCTGTGATTCAGTGTTCTTTCTCCCATTGATGATGACCGAGAAACCCGTAGCGGACCTCCCCGTGGTTAGATTTAAACAGTGGCGTCTGTTTCCCTGCCGCGAGAGGAGAATTCACGTCTGCTCTGTTTACGCACCTATCACGGTTTTAAGGGAGAGAAATGGCGCGAAATGGGGAGGGGAGGGTAGACTCTCTCTCTCGACTCTTCCACTTTGTTATATTGTGGTTGCATGGTAGCGAGCGTTGCACACGTCAAACTAAAGAAGACTATAAAACACGATAAGGACAAAGAGAGCGTCAGAGATACACTATTTGAGGTTTCCGGTTAGTAGCCTTATCTATTCTGTTAAAACGAGATAGAAAAACACAAAATGGACTTGTAGCTGTTGTCGGTGTTTTGTGCATTTACCTCAGAATGGGTGTTTGAGAGAACGAAAGAGGCAGAGATATGCTCGGAGGTGGCGCTATTTAGAGGATATAAGTTGATCCTATTATTCACTTTAGCTATCTGACGATCTGTGTGGTGTTGATAGTAGGCTATATGTCCAGCCTCTGCATGCTCGCATCATCTCGAAACTCCTTAGTTATGTGTGTTTACATTGCTTTTGTCATTGCCGGTGATTAAAGCTCATAGCCAACACAGTCCAGGTCAAACTCCCTCATCACGAGGCACAGGCATTTCACCATTGTAAAAAAACAACAACCGTTTTTATGCTGGTTACCTTAACAAATATATAACAATTTAACAAATCCCAAGTCTGAGAGGCGGGAATGGGGGCAGAAAGTGGGTCAAAGCTCAGAACAGAACAGAACGGAACAGTTCTGGAGTTCCAACGGTTCCTGGAAAGCAAGCTTTTCTCGAATTAAACTATCCGGAGACTGAAAAAAAACAAAAGCATAATTGGAACAAGCTGGGCATCAGCAGTGGTCATGTCTCTACCGGCAAGGACTGTGTCTGCCTTGGGCCATTGATGAGCAGCGTTTGTGATTGGATGTGCCCCTGGTGACCTCAGATGGGAGGAAGTGGATGTATGGGGCAGACTGACAGGCTCTGAGTATGAGGACAGTGACCATCACACACATACTAACATACTGTATCTGGTGAGCAAAACAAACATGTTTGGAGACTGAGACACACAAGTCTGTAGATACACACACGCAGAGAAGAACACACACACACACACACACAGTTGCAGAGTCAAAAAGGGGAGGATGTGAGTCAGTGTGTATTTCCTGATTCCTCTGTGTTTGGTGAGGGACCAGGGCCCCACATGCAGCAGACTGATGCAACACACACACAGATGGGAGAAATCCAGACAGACCAGCCTAGAGATAGAACAGACACTTTTCTAAATTCAAAATGTTCTTCTGTCCACCCAATGTGTTGGAATAACCAGCTGGTATTGAACCCAAGATGTCTGGGTGACTACAGACCATGTTAGCCCACTGAGCCAAAGGCATTTGTTTGGTAAAGCTAACAACATGTTGAGTTTGTTTTTCTGTTCATTCAGATAAACTCTCTGTCATGCGTAGCTGGTAGCCTATGCTCCATTCTGATTGGCTGTAGTAGTTGTGTTAAAGGGGAGGAGCTCTTATGTCACAGTTGTCATCCCGCCCCCTTCTCCTCCTCCTCCTCCTCCTCCGGAGAGAGAGAGAGAGAGAGAGAGAGAGAGAGAGAGAGAGAGAGAGAGAGAGAGAGAGAGAGAGAAGCAGGATGGGATGACATAATCTGCACTACAGTCGTGGTCAAAAGTTTTGAGAATGACACAAGTATTGGTCTCCACAAAGTTTGCTGCCTCAGTGTTGATGATGGCAATTTGCATATACTCCAGAATGTCATGAAGAGTGATCAGATGAATTGCAATTAATTGCAAAGTCCCTCTTTGCCATGAAAATGAACTTCATCCCCAAAAAACATTTCCACTGCATTTCAGCCCTGCCACAAAAGAACCAGCTGCCATCATGTCAGTGATTGTCTCGTTAACACAGGTGAGAGTGTTGACGAGGACAAGGCTGGAGATCACTCTGTCATGCTGATTGAGTCAGAATAACAGACTGGAAGCTTTAAAAGGAGGGTGGTGCTTGAAATCATTGTTCTTCCATGGTTACCTGCAAGGAAACACGTGCCGTCATCATTGCTTTGCACAAAAAGGGCTTCACAGGCAAGGATATTGCTGCTAGTAAGATTGCACCTAAATCAACCATTTATCGGATCATCAAGAACTTCAAGGAGAGAGGTTCAATTGTTGTGAAGAAGGCGTCAGGGTGCCCAAGAATGTCCAGCAAGCGCCAGGACCGTCTCCTAAAGTTGATTCAGCTGCGGGATCGGGGAACCACCAGTGCAGAGCTTGCTCAGGAATGGCAGCAGGCAGGTGTGAGTGCATCTGCACGCACAGTGAGGCAAAGACTTTTGGAGGATGGCCTGGTGTCAAGAAGGGCAGCAAAGAAGCCACTTCTCTCCAGGAAAAACATCAGGGACAGACTGATATTCTGCAAAATGTACAGGGATTGGACTGCTGAGGACTGGGGTAGAGTCATTTTCTCTGATGAATCCCCTTTCCGATTGTTTGGGCCATCCGGAAAACACCTTGTCCGGAGAAGCCAAGGTGAGCGCTACCATAAGTCCTGTGTCATGCCAACAGTAAAGCATCCTGAGACCATTCATGTGTGGGGTTGCTTCTCAGCCAAGGGAGTGGGCTCACTCACAATTTTGCCTAAGAACACAGCCATGAATAAAGAATGGTACCAACACATCCTCCGAGAGCAACTTCTCCCAACCATCCAAGAACAGTTTGGTGACAAACTTTTCCAGCATGATGGAGCACCTTGCCATAAGGCAAAAGTGATAACTAAGTGGCTCGGGGAACAAAACATCGACATTTTGGGTCCATGGCCAGGAAACTCCCCAGACCTTAATCCCATTGAGAACTTGTGGTCAATCCTCAAGAGGCGGGTGGACAAACAAAAACCCACAACTTCTGACAAACTCCAAGCATTGATTATGCAAGAATGGGCTGCCATCAGTCAGGATGTGGCCCAGAAGTTAATTGACAGCATGCCAGGGTGGATTGCAGAGGTCTTGAAAAAGAAGGGTCAACACTGCAAATATTGACTCTTTGCATAAACTGAATGTCATTGTCAATGAAAGCCTTTGACACTTATGGAATACTTGTAATTATACTTCAGTGTACCATAGTAACTATTGACATAAAGATCTAAGAACACTGAGGCAGCAAACTTTGTGGAGACCAATACTTGGTGTCATTCTCAAAACTTTTGACCACGACTGTACAGTAACATTTGAACAAAGATGCGCGCAAGCAAACACACACACACAAATGTATTATTATTGCTAAATACTGCACAATTTAAACACTTGACCCCCAATCCCCCCTTCCCCAAAACACATGTATATATTGGACTATAAATTGTGCCTTCCTGTATTATACTTATGCTACAATGTTTAATCTATTCTACTGAGCCATTTACTTTATGTTGGTATTCTTATCTTTTATTATTTCTTATTGTTGTTGCATTGTCAAGAAGGAACCTGCAAGTAAACATTTAGTTGGACGGTGTATATCATGTGTATCCAGTACATACAACTAAACACTTGAAACACACACAGTACAAGTACACACTCCTGTTCTCTCTCTCAGAGATACACACATTCACTATCGTTGACATGCCCCCAGGACTAAATCATTTGTTAAGGTTTGTAGTGAGAGAGATGGATATCATATTGTTTGGGAATCTGCTTGAGATAATGTCCAGGTTATGAACAGAGTGATACACACAGTTAACCTCATAACCTGTCATCTCTGCCTGTCCCACTTCTGTCCAATAACAGTGTGTCCCTCCTGTTTTTCCGTAGATACCCAGTTCAGGATGTCCATTCTGGAGCGTCTGGAGCAGATGGAACAGAGAATGGCTGAGATAACCAATCACCATCAGAGCTCCGAAACCACAGCAACCACGGGGGGAGGAGGTGGCACTGACCACCAGTCTCAGGTAACTTAATTGGTTTATTGATTGATTGATTGACTGGTTGGTTGGGTTGATTGATTGACCCCTGTAACATCAGTCCCAAAACGGTGTATTTTTCTCCCTCCCTCTCTCCCTTCCTCCCTCTTTCTCCAGCTCTCCCCAGCCGAGGGTTCGTTTGAGGGCCGTGTGGTAGTAGTGTGTGAGAAGATGATGACCCGCCCCTTTTGGGTTTCCCCCAATCAGCTGATCCACAGCCGGAGCTCCCGGGGCATGACCCTCCTGCACCTGGCCGCAGCTCAGGGCTACGCAGGGTTAATACAGACTCTCATTCGCTGGCGGTGAGAACACACACACACACACACAGGTATATTAAGATATGACTCTAACTGTGCTCCTCTGTTCCTCAGCACTAAGCATGCAGACAGTATAGATCTGGAGTTAGAGGTGGACCCTCTCAATGTCGACCACTTCTCCTGCACCCCACTGGTAAGAGACAGTGTGTGTGTTATTGTGTTTGTGATGTGTTTGTGTATGTTCTGTCTGTGTTCTGTCTGTGTTCGTTTATTTAATGCTGTGTGTATATGACGTGTTTTGTCTCTGCTCTCTCTCCGTAGATGTGGGCATGTGCTCTGGGTCATACAGAAGCAGCTCTGGTTCTGTACCAGTGGGACTCCAGAGCTTTGGCCATCCCTGATTCACTGGGCCGCCTGCCACTCAGTATTGCACGCTCACGGGGACACACTCAATTGGCCGAGCTCCTGGAGCAGCTGCAACAGGCTCCTCCTAATCAGGGTCCGCCCACCGACACCTGGATGGACAGGTGGAGCAGCGAATCAGAGCCCAGTGCACAGAGGGAAAGTCCCACCCCCAACTCTAACCCAGGTGAGAGTTGGGTTACTGGATAGTCAAAGGTTGAATATACACTCACCGGCCAGTTTATTAGATATACCCATCTTGTACCGGGTTGGACCCCCCTTTGCCTCCAGAACAGCCTGAATTATTCGGGGCATTCTACAAGGTGTCGGAAAAACTTTCCACAGGAATGTTGGTCTATGCTGACGCGATGGCATTACGCAGTTGCTGCAGTTTGGACGGCGGTACATTCATGCTGTGAACAGCCCATTCCATCTCATCACAAATATGCTCTATTGGGTTGAGGTCTGGGGACTGATTAGACTACTCAAGTAAACTGAACTTGCTGTCATGTTACAGGCAATGTTTTCCCACTCTTCAATTGTCCAGTGTTGGTGATTGCGTGCCCACTGGAAACGCTTCTTCTTGTTTTTAGCTGATAAGAGTGGAACCCGTTGTGTTGTCTGCTGCAATAGCCCATCTGTGACAAGGATCGACGAGTTGTGCGTTCCGAGATGCCGTTCTGCACACCACTGTTATACTGCGCCGTTATTTGTCTCTTTGTGGCCCACCTGTTAGCTTGCACGATTCTTGCCATTCTCCTTCGACCTCCCTCATCAATGAGCTGTTTTCATCCACAGGACTGCCGCTGACTGGATGTTTTTTGTTTGTCGCACCATTCTCGATAAACCCTGAACACTGTCGTGTATGAAAAGCCCAGCAGGGCGGCCGTTTGAGATACTGGATCCGGCGTGCCTGGCATCGACGATCATGCCATGCTCAAAGTCTCTTAGGTCACTCGTTTTGCCCATTCTAACATTCAATCGAACAGTAACTGAATGCCTCAATGCCTGTCTGCCTGATTATATAACAAGCTACGTGACTCACTGTCTGTAGGAGCAATACATTTTCATGAACGGTTTACCTAATAAACTGTCCGGTGAGTGTACATTGGGATAATCAGTTCTGAGGGCCGCAGTTTCATCTGTGATATCATGCTCTGTCTCTCCAGACCTGAGGAGAACCAGGACAGAACCCCAGCAGAGCAACCAGAACCAGAGCCTCAGCCAGAGCCAGGGTCATTGCTGGGCTCACAAGGGCCAACCCCAGCTGCAGGGCCAACACCGGGGGCTACAGGACAACCAGGGAGACCCCCCACCAGCCAAGAGACTCAAACTCAATTCTGAGGCCCAGCAACGGCCAGCCAACTCCCCAACCCCCCCCCACACTCCCTCTCATCACCCCAACCCCCTATGCTCTCAACTACCCAACCTCAGCCCCCTTAACACCCCAAATCCCCACCTCCCCAGCCCCCCTCTCTCCCACCTGCAGGCCAGGTTAGGGGGGTCAGGGGGTGGCAGTAGGTATAGCTTGCGGCAGGCTCTTGGGAGGCGGAGTTTGGCCAGGAGGATTCTGGGAAAGGAGAGACAGGCCAATCGTCTGCGTCAGAGGGGTGTATCCATCAGGGGGGAGGAGTCAGAACTGCTGACCTATCAGGAGGACAGTGAAGACCTGCAGGTAGGAGGGGCCTAGGCTAGTTTGACCAATGAATTAGCTCCACTGAAGTATCCACTATTTCTTCACGCAAGCACTTATTTGTTTGTGTGTGTGTGTGTGTGTGTGTCTGTTGCAGATGAACATGATGATGCTGGCTGAACACACCATGGAGGCCACTCCTGACAGGATCAAACAGGAGGCTTTTGTTGCCACGGACACTGAGACGTCGTCCCCAGAGGCAGATGGGGTCAGCGGTGATGTCAGCTGGTTAGCTAGTTACATTGGTGACGTGGAGCGGTGAGTCCAGAAAGCTCCTTTCTATATATGATACAGTGATATTTTCTCGTATTGTAGTGTATATTAAAGCCTACACTCTCCCTCATACTGCTTCTGCTGCTTCTCTTTCAGGTTTCTGTACTCCAGGCCCAAGATGCCCACCCCAAGCCCCATACCAAGCCCCCTCTCTGGGCCTGAGGATCAGGATAGTCCCCTGGCTCCGCAAGGCTTCCCCTGCCCGGCCGACTGGAGCTCCTTCCTGCACTCATCGCTCAGAGGGGAGGCCCCAGACACCAACCCTGCCCACTTCACACTGACGGAGGCGGAGCAAAGACAACTGTACGAGGCCGCAAGACACGCCCACCACACGCTCAGAAAGTACAAGGTACACTAAAATCACTGAAAGCACAAATAAATACAACAGAGAGGTCAAGTAGAAGAAGACTATTCTAGGTTACCAGTTCCCCTAGCCAGGTCCCCGGCTCCACAGGTGGAAGGGTGAATGGGTGGATGTCTGGAGCAGCAGTGTGTGTGTTTGTGCGAGTCACTCTGCATAGGGGAGCTTGAGCAGAGCATGGCCTGGGTAGAAGAAACAACTGCACTGCATTATCTCTCTCTTTCTCTCTCTCACTCTCTCTCTCTTATCCCTCATAAGGATATTGCTGTCTTTACACTGCATCAACTGTAAGATCTAGAATCCAGTGTTGTGAAACTTTGGGGTCAACCATCTCTGGCTCACATGCCCACTCCTGGTCTCGCCCCTTGTGGTTGCCATGCCAACTCACCCCTCCCTCCGTCCGTCCTTCCTCTAGGGCCGGCCAATCCAAGAGCAACGTAAAGAGACAGTAGCAGTGGTCCAGCGCTGCTATAAGAAATACAAACAGGTACAATAACACTCTCAATCCCAGATCAGACCAATCACAAGAACACACCAGCCCTGCTACTCATACCACTGACCAATCAGCACTATACAGCCCAGCCATGAGTCAGGACAGCTGGAACACAGCAGCTGACATACCTTCTACTGTATGTAGTCAGGTCCACTGTGACTGGATGTGTCCACAATGTGGCCTTCATACTCTTCATACTCTCTCTCTCCTCTCTCCTCTCTCTCTCTCTCTCTCTCTCTCTCTCTCTCCTCTCTCTCTCTCTCTCTCTCTCTCTCCTCTCTCTCTCTCTCTCTCTCTCTCAAGCTGTCATGGATAGCCTTGAAGGTAGTGTGTCAATCTCTGTCTTTATTCTAGAACACATTGTTTGAATGTACATTAAGTTTGAACTGTTTCCCTGACCAGTCCAATGTAATCTCTGTCAGTATGCACTTTATAAGAGGATGACGCTGGCAGCCATCCTGATCCAGAGCCGCTTCCGTAGTTTCCACGAGCAGAGGAAGTTCCAGCAGAGCCGCCGAGCAGCAGTACTGATCCAGCAATACTACCGCAGCTACAGACACTCTCTCAGGTACACACACACACAGCACGCGCGCACACACACACACACAGACAAACACACACACACCCTGACTGTGCCGTGTGGTTGTCGTCCTGCAGCAGTCTCCTCACTAAGAGACAGAACCAGGCTGCCCGTAAGATCCTGAGGTTCCTGCTCCGATGCCGCCACAGGTACTAATACACAGAATCTTCTTCCTGTTCCAGACCAGCAGCTCTCACTACATCACCATGATAGAGAGGACACAAGTGTTGACAATGTCTGTCCTCTCTAGCATGGCTGTGTAGTGACAACCCCATCCCTCCTCCCCCATACCCAGTGTGTGTGCTAATAGTTGGTGTTGTTTTGCTGTTTCTGTGAAGCCCCTTGATGGACCATAGACCAGTCAAACGGGTAAGTGAGCACCAGCAACTCAGGTTGGGCTTTTCTTACACCCGCTTCATACTCTCATTTCTTACTTCTCCTCACACTTCCTCTCTTCTCTCTCCTCTCTCTCTCTCTCTCTCTCTCTCTCTCTCTCTCTCTCTCTCTCTCTCTCTCTCTCTCTCTCTCTCTCTCTCTCTCTCTCTCTCTCTCTCTCTCTCATATATATATATATTTTCTCTCTCTCCCCATGGCTGATGCCTGTTTGCATGTCAGCTCTCTGAGAGGGAACTCTGGGTCAGTCCAAACCTCAAACATAAACTCCTCTACCTGTCTCTCTAGTCCCTTTGCTCTCTCTTTCTGAAGATTGCTGGATGCTGCTGGTATTGCTGCATGACTGACATAGCGAGGGAGTAGGTCTTGCTGCTTTACTTCCAGGGAGTGGGGCATGCTTTGAATGACATCACATCCTCTGTGGGAGGGGCTTCTCTCTTGTTTGGCCTGGCAATATCCTGCTCTTATTTTTGGCTTGGTAGTTGTTGAGGGAGGGGGGGGGGGGGGGGGGGGGGTGAGGAACCGCACCGCACCGCACCGCACGTCTTAAATTCATGTGAGAACTGTAACCCAGAAAGAGGCTTGTGAAACTAAAGGACTGTTTGTTCTCCCCAGTGCCACCCATCAGTGTAGTGTGAGTGTGTCTGACTGGGGCTCTTCTCTCCTCCAGGGCAAGAGAGCACAGAAAGGCCAGGGGTCCTGAGAGCCAACCGCCCAGTCCAACACAGAGCCGCATCATCATGTGAGCTCCTCTCCCTTCTTCCCTCTGTCTCACACAGGGGCAACTCTCCATTCCCCCGTCCTTTCCCTCTCCCCATCCCTCTCACAATGGGACTACTTCCCAGTCCACACTCTTCCCTCCCTCTCACAACGGGACTACTTCCCAGTCCACACTCTTCCCTCCCTCTCACAACGGGACTACTTCCCAGTCCACACTCTTCCCTCCCTCTCTCAATTTCAGACAGAGAAAAACTCTTCCCCAAACAGACTACTAACACTCAAACAGGAGGATGAGGAGGGATACATGGCAACTATATCACTAAGACAACACAGGGACAACTCTCCTTTCCTTTCTCTCCTCCCTCTCCTCCCTCTTTCCTCCCTCTCCTCCCGCTCCTCTTTCTCCTCCCTCTCTCCTCCTGTCTCTCCTCCTGTCTCTCCTCCCTCTGTTTCTGAGAGACAAACGCTTCCCAAACAGACAGGGACACATGGCAACTATATCTGGGAGACTGCTCTGATGAACGTATGGACCTGGCTCTGGCCACAGCATCGCTTTACTTTCACCTTCCTCCAGATCACAGGGAGGAAACTACATTACCCTCATGGCATCTTTGCACTCTTCACAGATCAATGGTTTCTTCAATAGCAAAAAAAGAAGGATACACCTATAGAACATGTTCCATACGGAGAATGGGATGATTGGTTTTCTGATATGGGCAACATTTGCATTGACATGCATAATCTATATGGGACCTGCTGTATTTTCTAAATAAATGATACATTTTAGAAAAGGAAAACATAAACCAAATATCACTCCCATGTCCTTGTATGCATGCACTGTTTTTCACTAGCTCTTCTTCTTCCATGGCTTGTATGGCAGTTGACAAAGTCAATGTGACATTACCACACTCTGATTGGCTGGATAGACCTGTCAACCAGTCACCCAAAAAAGGACTACACTTGAATGTAAGAAGAACATTAACCGATAGAGGTTATTGACTTGTCTATGAAGTCATTCTCTGAGGCAGCATTTTGCTAGGCTGACGTTGTGAGTCTGTGTTTGTTGAATGGTATGCATGTGTTTGAGCTGTGAGCTCCTGCATGCTAACCAACCTGCTTAAGTGTTGTTTATTTTCTAGTTATGTGTAGTGGTGTCTCACTTCTGTCCTCATCAACCTATCCCTGTGTTCATAATGTGCTCTATGTAAGGAAAATAACCTGGGTTTCCTATGTGTTTTATTGATGTATTATTTATCTATTTATTTTGTATTTTTTGCTTTTGTAAATGTTTCTTCTTGTTTAACCTGGTTATGTTCTTTAATTTCAGTTACAGTAAGAAAAGGGCATTTTCGATCAAATCAGTTTTATCCCCCTATTGTGTGGTAATGTGTGACATATTCGGTTCAGGATGGTTAACTGTCTCTGTCAATTTGTTCTTAACATGAACTTTAAAAAGCCACATATGGTTTTAAGGAGAGTGTCACATTGCATTGCCTTGACTGCTTATAGACTGTGAGAAGTCCCTACGCTATACACTAGACCCTGTCTAGGACATGGGACCCTAGTTATATTCACCCTTATAGAGGGCAGCCCAACACTTATTTTTGACTATTGAGCGTCTCTGTACATAAAATGACGAGGTAAGGGTATAAATGGAGACCCTGGATCTTTTTCATAAGAAAATACTGTATTTAAGGATATATATTATTTTACTTCTGTAACAATAACGTGAGCAGATAGAGACCCTGGTAAACAGGACAGTTGTATTGTTTGTAAATAATGTAAATACTAACCATGGATCTATGTGCATGAGAATTAAGACAAAGAAACCGGGCAAGAAAACCAACATAAAAATGTTTGTGGCTATGGACTGTAAGAGGATTTTAACTACTTCTCTTTATGAGTGTTTGATATACAATACCAGTCAAAAGTTTGGACACACCTACTCATTAAAAGTTTTTCTTTAGTTTTACTATTTTCTACATTGTAGATTATGAATTATGAAATAACACATATGGAATCATGTAGTAACCAAAAAAGTGTTAAGCAAATCAAAATATATTTTATATTTGAGATTCTTCAAAGTAGTCACCCTTTGCCTTGATGACAGCTTTGCACACTCTTGGCATTCTCTCAACGAGCTTCACCTGGAATGGTTTTCCAACAGTCTTGAAGGAGTTCCCACATATGCTGAGCACTTGTTGGCTGCTTTTCCTTCACTCTGCGGTCCAACTCATCCCAAATCATCTCAATTGGGTTGAGGTCGGTTGATTGTGGAGGCCAGGTCATCTGATGCAGCACTCCATCACCCTCCTTCTTGGTCAAATAACCCTTACACAGCCTGGAGGTGTGTTGGGTCATTGTCCTGTTGATAAACAAATGATAGTCCCACTAAGCGCAAACCAGATGGGATGGCGTATCACTGCAGAATGCTGTGGTAGCCATGCTGGTTAAGTGTGCTTTGAATTCTAAATAAATCACAGTGTCACCAGCAAAGCACCCCCACACCATCACACCTCCTCCTCCATGCTTCACGGTGGGAACCAAATATGCGGAGATCATCCGTTCACCTACTCTGCGTCTCACAAAGACACGGGGTGGACCAAAAATCTCAAATTCGGACTAATCAGACCAAAGGACAGATTTCCACCGGTCCAAAGTTCATTGCTCGTGATTTTTGGCCCAAACAAGTCTCTTCTTCTTATTGGTGTCCTTTAGTAGTGGTTTCTTTGCAGCAATTCGACCATGAAGGCCTGATTCACGCAGTCTCCTCTGAACAGTTGATGTTGAGATGTGTCTGTTACTTGAACTATGTGAAGCATTATTTGGGCTGCAATTTCCGAGGCTGGTAACTCTAATGAACTTATCCTCTGCAGCAGAGGTAACTCTGGGTCTTCCTTTCCTGTAGCGGTCCTCATGAGAGCCAGCCATCATAGCGCTTGATGGTTTTTGGACTGCACTTGAAGAAACGTTAAAAGTTCTTGACATTTTCCGGATTGACTGACCTTCATGTCTTAAAGTAATGATGGACTGTCATTTCTCTTTGCTTATTTGAGCTGTTCTTGCCATAATATGGACTTGGACTTTTACCAAATAGGGCTATCTTCTGTATACCACCCATACCTTGTCACAACATAACTGATTGGCTCAAACGCATTAAGAAGGAAAGACATTCCACAAATTAACTTTTAACAAGGCACACCTGTTAATTTAAATGCATTTCAGGGGACTACCTCATGAAGCTGGTTGAGAGAATGCCAAGAGTGTGCAAAGCTGTCATCAAGGCAAAGGGTGGCTACTTTGAACACTTTTTTGGTTACTACATGGTTCCATATGTGTTATGTCATTGTTTTGATGTCTTCACTATTATTCTACAATGTAGAAAATAGTAAAAATAAAGAAAAACCCTTGAATGAGTAGGTGTGTCCAAACTTTTGACTGGTATTGTAAGTGTTATTAAAAACATTTTGTTAAAGCATGACATTGATTAAATCTTATGTAAAAAAAAAAAGTAATATAAAGAGTAAGGGCAGAAAGCAAAGTTATCTTTCAAACAAAATGTATACACATCATGCTTTTGATTTTGGGCTAGCAAGAATTAAATCATTTTGCCAGTGGTGCCAATGATTATGAATGCTACTTTGCCTCCCTACCAGGAACCCCAAGCTGTAAGGGTGGAGGACCCTAGGATTAGGGCCAGGAGTTTTTTCTGACCATGTGGTCACATGTTCAGGAAAAACTCTTGGTCCAGGATGTAAAACGTACAAGTATTAACTAACACAGTCATCTCAAGCAACTGAGGGGTGGGAAAGCAAGGACAATCTATTTTTCTTCTAAGGTGTACACAGAGTGATTTCCTGTCAAATGTGTCAAAACCAAACAAACTAGCGATGGATGATGTTACTGTTTTTGCTCATATGGTCCTGTGTGGCTCAGTTGGTAAGAGTGTGATGCTGGCAATGCCAAGGTTGTGGGTTCATATCCCGCAGCGATCACATACTCAAAATGTATGCCCTCACTATACTTTAAGTTGCTTTGGATAAAAATGTCTGCTAAGTGGCACATAATATATTTTTTTATGCAGTTGCAGCTCTCTGGCAGGATGAGTGTGCTTTAAGCATCTATTATGCCCTTTAAAAAGAGCATTTCTTAGCTTCAGACAGATTTTACACTATTGAAATTCTCCAGCCTCTTAATGTTACTGCCAATGGTATGACCCGTGTTACAACAAACCATTTCCATCCCTGGAGTGTCTGACAGAGTTGCTTTGACTGAGGATTATGAACCGTTTTGTTCAGAAAATGGTTACTCACACACAGAACGTGCAAGCTAATATTAGGAAGCCACTATACAGTATGTCTCCAAACGAGTTAACCAATTCGCACTATATTTTCCCAAATTGTGTGTGATGATTATTCTACACAAAAGAGTGATGCCCCAGTTTAATTCTGAACTTTAATTTGTTCGTGATTTTTTTTTCTTCCTATACCTGAGTGTTTCTGCATAGAAAACACCTTACAATGTTACAGACTGATACTCATGCTGCTTTTGGTCCTCTAAGCAGATCATGTATTCTACTCCTCCTCCCAAGTAGACACCGAGTAATGGATCACAGCACACAATACCATGGTTCTTGTGGGTTGCCACATTATTAAAGAAAAAAACATGAAATCAAGTCCAAAGCTCTGATATGCCCCCTACAGCAATTTATTTGAAAGAAGGACACATGGACAACGTTTCGATCCTCATTGGGATCTCCACTAAGTTGCCAGATAATGCCATATCTCTTGCAGGTCAGGTTGATATTCAGTATATATAGGCTAAGTTATGCATGGCACATTCACACCCATTTTGCTGTATTGGCACTACATGTAGGTCTAGAGACTGTAATGTAGATACCTTGGGATGAATGTGGCAGGGTCTTTAGCAGAGATGTAGAGCACAAAAAACAAGAACTCAACTGCTGTATGGTCATTGTCAAGATAGAAATATCTGTGTATTTTTCTGCATGGAAATCGCACAACATTTCACTTTATGTCTCATCTGTTCAATCCTGGCAGTAATGTTCTTCCAACTTGATTACGTAAAAACATACTTTATCTTAGCTGGAGCAAACTTTACACAAACAGACATAGACACGCACATGACTCACTCAGTTGTCTCACAATTTCAACTCACACACATGTACACACACATCACACACTCTCTCTGTATTATTTTTTCTGAGGAGGCAGTAACTCCCTCAGATTTAAACTCAGGGTTCTAGAATGGGGAGGGAGGCATGGAGTAGGCCCTGTGTGTGTGTGTGTGTGTGTGTGTGTGTGTGTGTGTGTGTGTGTGTGTGTGTGTGTGTGTGTGAGTTAATCAGCCAATAGTGATTAGGCCATACCTCTATGATAAGATGACAGTGATGATGACCAGACTGAGGTCTTGTTCACAGGGAGTTGGCCTGAGCTAGGCGCCACACACATTATGATTTCAACTTCCAAACACCTGATAATTAATATATATATATATATATATATATATATATATATATACACACAGTACCAGTCAAACTTTTGGACACACCTACTCATTACAGGGTTTTTCTTTATTTTTACTATTTTCTACATTGTAGAACAATAGTGAAGACATCAAAACTATGAAATAACACATATGGAATCATGTAGTAACCAAAAAAGTGTTAAACAAATCAAAATATATTTTATATTTGAGATTCTTCAAAGTAGCCACCCTTTGCCTTGATGACAGCTTTGCACACTCTTGGCATTCTCTCAACCAGCTTCACCTGGAATGCTTTTCCAACAGTCTTGAAGGAGTTCCCACATATGCTGAGCACTTGTTGGCTGCTTTTTCTTCACTCTGCAGTCCAACTCATCACAAACCATCTCAATTGGGTTGAGGTCGGGTGATTGTGGAGGCCAGGTTATCTGATGCAGCACTCCATTACTCTCCTTCTTGGTCAAATAGCCCTTACACAGCCTGGAGGTTTGTTGGGTCATTGTCCTGTTGAAAAACAAATGATAGTCTCACTAAGCGCAAACCAGATGGGATGGCATATTGCTGCGGAATGCTGTGGTAGCCATGCTGGGGAAGTGTGCCTTGAATTCTAAACAAATCACAGGCAGCAACGCACCCCCACACCATCACACCTCCTCCTCCATGCTTCACGGTGGGAACTACACATGCGGAGAGCATCCGTTCACCTACTCCGCGTCTCACAAAGACACGGAGGTTGGAACCAAAAATCTCTAATTTGGACTCATCAGCCCAAAGGACAGATTTCCACCGGTCTAATGTCTTCTTCTTATTGGTGTCCTTTAGTAGTGGTTTATTTGCAGCAATTCGACCATGAAGCCCTGATTCACGCAGTCTCCTCTGAACAGTTGATGTTGAGATGTGCCTGTTACTTGAACTTTTATTTGGGCTGCAATTTCCGAGGCTGGTAACTCTAATAAACTTGTCTTCTGCAGCAGAGGTAACTCTGGGTCTTCCTTTCCTGTGGCGGTCCTCATGAGAACCAGTTTCATCATAGCGCTTGGTGGTTTTTGCAACTGCACTTGAATAAACGTGATAGGGCTATCTTCTGTATACCACCCCTACCTTGTCACAACCCAACTGATTGGCTCAAACGCATTAAGAAGGAAAGAAATTCCACAAATTAACTTTTAACAAGGCACACCTGTTCATTTAAATGCATTCCGGGTGACTATCTCATGAAGCTGGTTGAGAGAATGCCAAGAGTGTGCAAAGCTGTCATCAAGGCAAAGGGTGGCTATTTGAAGAATGTCAAATATAAAATATATTTTGATTTGTTTAACACTTTTTTGGTTACTGCATGATTCCATATGTGTTATTTCATAGTTGTGATGTCTTCACTATTATTCTACAATGTAGAAAATAGTACAAATAAAGAAAAACCCTTCAATGAGTAGGTGTGTCCAAACATTTGACTGGTACTGTATATATATGAAAGATTATTGGAATCTGTGTGGGTAGCTGGACAGGTAGGATGACTGACAATAGTGAAAGTGAACAGGTGTTCACGGGTCAGGTGACTGAGAGGAATGGAGGATACTGAGGCAGGAATTCCTTTAACCACAAAGTGGTATATTTACTAGGTAGGTTGTCTGGGGTTGATTCCTGGACGCACAGAATGTCTGTATTAGACAGAGTTGGGGAAGAGAAAGCAGCAAGGTCGGGCAGTGGCGATTTCCTCCTTTTAATGAGTTGAGATCTGTCTGACATTTCCACTTGACCTAATTAAAGCGCTCTGGCCCAGCTGCGCAAGTGGCCATGAATTAAAGGGCGATTCCACCAATTCCATGGGCCTTTTCTACAGCCACCCCTGAAATTTGTTAAATTCCACACTCCTCAAAAGGCTCATCGCTCCCCGTCCTCTGTCATCTCGGGGAGAGGAATTAGCTTGGCAACTGGCCGGATATATGTCCGGTTCTTTACCTGAATCTCCACTGATCTAACACAACTGTCAGTCCCAGGCATGGTCTTGGTTATATGGCCCACCAGCCACCAGGCTCGAGGCAGTTGAGGGTCCACTATCATTACTACTTGGCCAGTGTCCAGGCTGGCAGTTTCTTTCTGCCATTTCCCTCTGTGCTGTAGGCTTGGTAGGTAATCCCGAATGAAACGGGCCCAGAAATGGTCAGCCAAGATTTGGCTGTGTCGCCACCGGCGTCTGCCAACGAGGTTGGTATCAGCATACATGGCTTGAGGAAGTGAGGCATCTCGGCGCCCCATCAAGATCAGATTCGGTGTAACCGGATCTGGGTCAGCGATGTCTGCAGAGAGATATCCGAAGGGTTTGGAGTTCAGTATCCCTTCCATCTCTATCAGGACTGTCCGCAAGACAGTTTCAGTGACAGTTTGGTCTCCCAGGACGACTTGTAAGGCCGTCTTCACAGATTTGATCTCTCGCTCCCATGTTCCTCCAAAATGAGGAGCTCCTGGAGGGTTGAATTTGAAGGATATTTGTTGGTCCATCAGTTGATCCTGGAGGGTTGGTTCCATTGCTTGGAAGTCTTCCTCCAACCGGTTTTCTCCTGCCTTGAAGTTTGTGCCCCTGTCCGCCAGGATCTCGTCGGGTTTCCCCCGTCGGGAGACAAACCGTCGTAGGGCCATGAGGAAGGCTTCAGTATCCAAACTCTCCAGTAGGTCCAGGTGGACACATCTAGTTGTCAAACACTTGAACAGAATGCCCCAGCGCTTCTCCGCTCGACGACCTAGCTTGATCGTAAAGGGCCCAAAGCAATCTACTCCTGTTGACCAGAAGGGGGGTTTGAGGAAGCGCAAGCGAGCAGGGGGCAAATCCGCCATTTTGGGCACAGTTGCTCTGGCCCGCCATCTCTGACATTCCATGCTGGCGTATTGGGGCTTGCGAATGGCTCCTCGTCCTCCAAGTATCCAATACTTCCGCCTCATCTCCCCAAAGACCCTCTCTGGCCCTTGGTGGAGAAGCCTCTCATCATAACTCTTGATGAAGAGGCTGGTGAGAGGATGTCTGGAGTCAAGGATAATTGGATGGATAGCATCGGGATCCAAGACTTCTGCTTGGCGCAGCCTCCCTCTGATCACTCCGTGTATTTGGGCAAGAGAGAGAAGACAGCTGTCCTTAGCCACTTCCTTACCGGCTTTCAGATCTTTTAGCTCCTCAGGGAAGCTGACTGAGTGTGCAGGCTGTAGGAGGAGTGTCTCTGCAGCGAGGGAGGTGGGTATGGAAGCCACCCCATCTGAGGTCTGGCTAGTGGCGGCGATCAGATCCTGCAGTGTTTGGGATTGTGCTGGGTCAGGGAGAGCTGTGGTTAGCTCCGATATTGTAGCACTGGGCAGACTTCCTTAACTCATGAGCTTCAGTTGGTTGCAGAGGGGCCGCAGGCACGGGGGCTGTCAGCCATTCGTTCTCTGGTTGGGACAAGAATTGTGGTCCCAAGCTCCAGCAATGGGGTTGAGCCAGTTCCTTAATAGTTTTACCATGAGTGATGTCATCAGCAGGATTGTTTATGTTGTCAACATACCTCCAGTCATTGCCTTCCGTTAGGTCTTGGATTTCCGCAATGCAAGTTCCGACAAACACCTTATACCTGCAGGACTCCGACCTGAGCCAGCTCAGTACAGTGGTCGAATCACTCCAGTAGATGACCCTTTGGATTGGCAAGGTGAGCTCGGCTCGCAAGGTGGAGGCCAACTTGGTTCCGGAAAGGGCAGCGCTGAGTTCCAGCCTAGGCATTGACAACTGCTTCTTGGGTGCGAACCTGGACCTGGCCATAACAAAGGAGACATGGGTGTGGCCTGCCTCATCCTCCACTTGGAGATAGGAAACCGCTCCATAAGTCCGCTCTGAAGCGTCACAGAACACATGAAGTTCCCGGCTTGATCCCAGTTGGTCAGCACAGGGTGACACATAACACCTTGGCATCTGGACTTTAGAGAGCTCTGACAACTCTGTTTCCCAACAGATCCATCGTTCCACTAGGTCAGCCGGGTGGATTGGTTCATCCCAGTCCCTCTTGGTCTGCCACAGGTCCTGGACTAAGACTTTGGCGCAGGTTGTGTATGGCAGGATATACCCGAGGGGATCGTATTGACTGGTCAGGGTCCGATAGATGATGCGCAGAGTGGGGGTTTCGGTGCTCAGGGCTGAGCGGTGCTTGTACCCCAGGGTATCCGATATGCAACTCCATCTCAGTCCTAGAGTGGGCTCTTGTGGGTTAGCGCCAGACTGCGACAGCCATAGTTCACTGCTACTTGACCTAGCTTGTGGCGGGAGGTGCTGGACAACCTCCGCTGTGTTGCTCGCCCACTGTCTAACCTCAAATCCCCCTTTGGACAGGAGATTCCAGACTTTATCGAGGAGTGCTTTCGCTTCAGCAGTGGATGGGACGCTCTGTAAGCAGTTATCCACATAGAAGGCATTCTCCACTGAATCCCAGACTTCTGGGTCACTGTCTGGGTGCTCCCGGGCGTGTCTCTGCAGAGCGTATATGTCACAGCAAGGACTGCACGTGGTGCCAAATGGGAGTACTTGCCATTCATAGATTGTGGGCTCTGCGTCTCGTTCCATATCTCGCTATATGAACTGGAGAAGTGTGCTGTTGGAAGGCAGCAGACAAATCTGATGAAACATGGTTTTGATGTCTCCACTGATGGCTGTGGAGTGTTGCCGGAACCGGAGAAGGACACCGAGCAAAGAAGGACCTAAGGTTGGGCCGTGGAGCAGACAGTCATTCAGGCTTTTACCAGCGGCTTCGAATGAACAGTTGAAGATAAGTCTGTACTTCCCACTGTGTTGCTGGATAACATGGTAAGGGAGATACCAGGATTCGCTGAGTGGGTTTCCCGCTTCATGAGCTGTCACCTTGGTGAAATAGCCTGCCTTCAAAAGGTTATGAATCTCTTGGTTATGAACTTCAGCAAGCTCAGGATTCTTCACCAGTCGCCGCTCCGTTCCGCGGAGTAGTGGGAATACAGCCCGTGTTGTGGTTGCCAGAGGAGGATGGTTGGGCACCCGTAGCAGTGGGGTTGCGTACCTCTGAATGCCATCCATTTCAGTGGTGGTGGTGTGCTTCTCCAGGAGGTCTAATGCATAGGAGTCATGTTTCGAGCAGGTGACCTCCTGTAGCTTCCGGTTGGAGAAGGTGTCCATCTTCAAGAGCATCTCCACATTCCGAAGGAGGTCAGTGGCTGGACAGCGAGATGGAGCTGGACTGCTTCTGGTAAACAGGATTTGCTGTGACTGTACAGCTTGGGTAGAGAGAACTAGATGGGCTGGACCCTGCACAGCCCAACCCAAGGATGTATGGACAGCAACAGGCCCTCCTTCTGGTCCAGCTCGTATAGGCTCAGTCGGGGTGACGAGGTGTGTTTGGTCAGACCCGATCAGGATGAGTGGTGCAACCCTGGCCATGTTAGGAAGAGGCAGTCCTCTGAGATGAGGATATTACTTCTGTAGAACACTCACCGGGCAGGAGTGCTCTGCGAGATTCAGGCCATCTGCCATGAAGGCATTAGTGATGTTGTACGCCACTTCCCTTTGTCCTGAAGGTGAAACGCAGAAGGTCACGGAAGAGCCTTTCACTTGGATAACATCATGTCGCACCGCTCTGAGGTTAAGGATCTCGGGGGTCCCCTCCAGGTTAAGCTGCCGGGCGGCAGCTGGGAGAATGATTGTTCTTTCAGACCAATCATCTAGAACGGCGAATGTATCCATGCTCCTCCCTTCGCTTTGCAGAGTGACCTTTACCACCTTCAACATGACCCTTGGAGACAGGTTCTGCTGGTCGAGGTAGAGCTCCTTTGCGGCTCCTACCATGAGCATACTCTGCTCCTTCGCTGCTTGGGGAATTACATCATGCAACACTGTGAGATGGATTTCCTTACAGCGATTGCAGGGTTTCCTCAATGTGCAGGTCTGGGCTTTATGGCTACGGGCACACTTGTAGCATCGCTCGTCTGAAGTTATCCAGGCCTTCAATTGGGGTTGAGTGAGCTTTTGTACCCTGGGGCATGAGCCCAGGAAGTGCCACTTACTATTGCAATAGGGGCAGTAAGGATGGAATTTGATGTTCTTGCTTTTGAGAGGGGTCTTCTTTCCGGGTTCCTTCCTTCCGGGTTCCTCCCCGGCTTCACTATTTAAGTACATGGTAGTGGGATTCAGCCTTTTATGACCCTCCTTGCGTTCAAACTCCTTCCTTACCCCAGAGGCTGGGGCTGAGATTGTGGCCTGGTGAGCGATGCTCTTCGCCCTCTCCTTCACCTGCAACCATGCTGTCTGGTCTTTGAGGGCATAGGTGCCTCTCGAGCCCTCTTTCAGGATGCCTTTGTTCAAACATTTCCACTGAAACGCACAAAGCAATAAACAAACACATTCATTTTCTAAGTGAGGATCTGTAGATTTTAGTGAGTGTAGAGATCAGTTTGTAGAGTTAACATAAGCTATGTCATGCGCAACTTTGACTTCCTCTAAGGAAATAACTGGTCGGGCTGCTCAGAGGTGACCTCTGACACAGAGGTTAAAGGTCAAATAAGAGATAAATGCTGAAATACTGGCCGTGATTATAACTTTCTATGGGCTAACATCACTCTGCATGTTAAAATAGTGCTAGCTAAACCTCTCTCTTCCTCTCTTTCCTATCTCAACCCTAACTTTGTTCTCTCCTATTTTGTGTTCTTCAGCCCTCTCTCTCTCTTTACCTCTGTCCCTCTTTTGTACGTCTCTTTTTTATAATGTGCATGTATAGGCATCAATAAATCATTGAAGATGTTTAAAAAAATAATAATATTCTGCTGCCAAGGCCATGCAAAGTGTTTTGAATTGCCCTTATATGTGGAAAATGTATTTTGAATGCTTTACATAATTTCTGCTGTAAAATGAAATCAGAGTAAAAAGAAAATTTGCACTTTACTATAATGGTCTGGTTTTTATTTTATGGTCAGTGTGATTGCAAGATATTTCAAAGAAATTGGCCTACCATTTTACATGTTATCTTTATAATACCTATGCTACTTTCTTTGTAGTTGTAGTAATTCCAGAAATAAAGTGCATTTGGAAGGTATTTAGACCCCTTCACTTTTTCCACATTTTGTTACGTTACACCCTTATTCTGAAATAGATTCAATCGTTTTTTCCCCTCATCAATCTACCCCATAATGACAAAGCAAAAACAGGTTTTTAGATTTTTTTGCAAATTAAAAAATATATAAAAAATGAAATATCACATTTACATAAGTATTCAGACCCTTTACTCAGTACTTTGTTGAAGCACCTTTGGCAGCGATTACAGCCTCGAGTCTTCTTGGGTATGACGCTACAAGCTTGGCACACCTGTATTTGGGGAGTTTCTCCCATTCTTCTCTGCAGATCCTCTCAAGCTCTGTATGGTTGGATGGGGAGCGTTGCTGCACAGCTATTTTCAGGTCTCTCCAGAGATGTTAGATCGGGTTCAAGGCTCTGGCTCAAGGACATTCAGAGACTTGTCCCGAAGCCACTCCTGCGTTGTCTTGGCTGTGTGCTTAGGGTCGTTGTCCTGTTGGAAGGTGAACTTTTGCCCCAGTCTTATGTCCTGAGTGCTCTGGAGCAGGTTTTCATCAAGGATCTCTCTGTACTTTGCTCCGTTCATCTTTCCCTCGATCCTGACTAGTCTCCCAATCCCTGCCACTGAAAAACATCCCCACAGCATGATGCTGCCACCACCATGCTTCACCGTAGGGAAAGTGCCAGGTTTCCTCCAGACATGACGCTTGGCATTCAGGCCAAAGAGTTCAATCTTGGTTTCATCAGACCAGAGAATCTTGTTTCTCATGATCTGAGAGTCCTTTAGGTGCCTTTTGGCAAACTCCAAGCGGGCTGTCATGTGCCTTTTACTGAGGAGTGGCTTCTGTCTGGGCACTCTACCATCAAGGCCTGATTGGTGGAGTGCTGCAGAGATGGTTGTCCTTCTGGAAGGTTCTCCCATAGCCACAGAGGAACTCTGGACCTGTGTCAGAGTGACCATTGGGTTCTTGGTCACCTCCCTGACCAAGGCCTTTCTCCCCCGATTGCTCAGTTAGGCCGGGGCGGCCACATTTAAGAATGATGGAGGCCACTGCTAATGCTGCAGAAATGTTTTGGTACCCTTCCCCAGATCTGTGCCTCAACACAATCCTGTCTCAGAGCTCTACGGAAAATTCCTTCGACCTCATGGCTTGGTTTTTGCTCTGACATGCACTGTCAACTGTAGGACCTTATATTGCCTTTCCAAATCATGTCCAATCAATTGAATTTACTCTCCAATCAAGTTGTAGAAACATCTCAAGGATGATCAATGGAAACAGGATGCACCGGAGTTCAATTTCGAGTCTCATAGCAAAGGGTCTGAATACTTACGTAAATAAGGTATCTCTGTTTTTTTATAAATGTGCAAAAATGTCTAAAAACCTGTTTTTGCTTTGTCATTATGGGGTATTGTGTGTAGATTGATGAGGAATTGTTTTTATTTAATCCATTTTAGAATAAGGCTGTAAGGTAACAAAATGTGGAAAAAGTCAAGGGGCCTGAATACTTTCCGAATGCACTTTAAACAGAAAGTATCTGGTAATTCTATGGATAGGCAAGAAGTAAGGCGTGAAAGAGTCTTTATGTCCTCCTTTAAATAATGAATTACTTTAAATCCCTTTGTATGTAATCCCAGCAGATCCGACCACTTGTTTATAGCTGCACTAGGTTTGGACAGGCTTCCTGTGTAGATTAAAAGGCACTGCACATGATAGCCTCCATATGGAGCCTCTGACCACATTTTCAGATCAAGCATAAATTGCCTTTAAGACACAGTGGAGCCGGCGCGACATATGGCTCAGAAAATGTACCTCAATCCAGGGATGATAAAAGTGTTGTAGTTTTGCATTTACCTTTTTTTCATATAGGTACTGTCACTTTAAATTGCACAGCGAAATTGGAAAACTGTTACGGATTGGCACCATTTTCGGGATTGACACATCTTCATGTTTTCCGGGGCTTTGGATCTCTGCTAGCTATCCAATAAAATCATGTAAGTATTTATTTTCTCCTCATGTTTATAATAACGTTGATCAACTAACTAGCTCGGTGTTTCAAATATGCGTATTTCTTTAAAAAAACGAAAGTCTACAACGCCCAATTTACCGGGATTGGGTGTGAAGCTCTCTCGGCTAGCTAGTTAGCTAACTTTCATGCAACAAGTGCTTGTTCAAACTAGCCATATAGCCAGCAATTGTGCTAATCCTGGCCCCGACCTAGTTACCAAAACAAAGCTATAACATTGATTTATTATTTAGGTAAATGTTGGGTCTGTAACGCGTTAGTTAAATTGCATGTTTGGTATGAAGGGAGTTTTGGGAACGCTGCTGATTTAACGTTAGGTAGCTAGTTTGCTAGCCTAAGCTAGCTTGTTAGATGTTCATTCTGAATACGATACATTTTCCTGGTTTTATCGACCAGTTGATGCTATCTACGTTACCTAGGTAGCTAATGTTATTATGCGGATATCTAGGGTAGATCGCTAGTGATGTTCGCTAATTATCAATATTAACTAGCTAAGTTAGTTCATATGGTTACTGCTATGTTGCTTGTAACTACTTTAGTAGCTAGATAACCATGACTTTAGTTAACATCAAGCCTCAGTCCCCTGACCTTTTCGCTAGCTAAATTCTGAATGGCCGGCCTAGCTAGCTAACTAGACAAGCCATGAATATACATAGCTAGCTACATAGCCTACATTGTAATCCTATGATGAATGTGATAAGCCAACTAGTTACGTCATCAGTTTGACCAGTCATTATTTTTTTTGTATCTCTGTAACGAACACTGTGGTTGTTGTATGTTGCTAACGTGGCCAACCAAAGTCTGATTGATTGTTCCAGGCAGTGAAGATTTCAACATTCGTAACTCGCAGCCAATAGCCTGGAAGGAACGCTTTGCTATTTCAACGTTTGATTCCTGGATTTGTACCTACTTTAGTCCCTCATTGTACATTTCGCTTTCTTGGAACATTGGCGAGCTGAACTTGGTCGGAGAATAGTAGGACGTCTGCTATCTGCATCCTCATCCACTGGATGCAGCTGACACACAAGCACACCTGTTATTGTCCAGAAATGCCAGGTGCCTCGGCTGCAATGTCCAGCTCAGGTGCCAGGTGGTGTGATTTTCCCCTCTAAAAGGCCCTGTTTGAATACTGAAGAAAGTATCCCAACTTCCTTCCTACTTTCCCTCCTTGAAATAATCAGATCTGAAAGGGCGGGATTGGTGAGAGCAGTGGGTTGTTAACCTTGCTCTGACTTGTATGCCAATTTGTGATTAATACACAGAGGGAGAGGTACAGCTTGGTACCTGCCGCCAGAACAGGCTGTAGTGGGGAAGTGTTGACATGAGAACTGAGAGAGCATTTAAAAAAAAATTTTTTTTTACATTTACGAGCGATTTTATCCAGAGTGACTTACATTTTTTTTTTATACTGGCCCCCCGTGGGAATCGAACCCACAACCCTGGCGTTGCAAACGTCATACTCTACCAACTGAGTTACATCCCTGCCGGCCATTCCCTCCCCTACCCTGGACGACACTGGGCCAATTGTGTGCTTGGAGGGTACTATGGGGTTGAATGCTGAGCTATAGTCAATGAACAGCATTCTCACATAGGTATTCCTCTTGTCCAGATGGGATAGGGCAGTGTGATGGCGATTGCATCGTCTATGGATCTATTGGGGCGGTAAGCAAATTGAAGTGGGTCTAGGGTGACAGGTAAGGTAGAGGTGATATGATCCTTGACTAGTCTCTCAAAGCACTTCATGATGACAGAGGTGAGTGCTACAGGGCGATAGTCATTTAGTTCAGTTACCTTTGCTTTCTTGGGTACAGGAACAATGGTGGCCATCTTGAAGCATGTGGGAACAGCAGACTGGGAAAGGGAGAGATTGAATATGTCCATAAACACACCAGCCAGCTGGTCTGCGCATGCTCTGAGGACGCAGCTAGGGATGCCTTCTGGGCCGGCAGCCTTGCGGGGTTTAACATGCTTAAATGTCTTAATCACGTTGGCCACGGAGAAGGAGAGGCCACAGTCCTTGGTAGTGGGCCTCGTCAGTGGCGCACTGTGTTATCCTCAAAGCGGGCGAAGAAGGTGTTTAGCTTGTCTGGAAGCGAGACGTTGGTGTCGGTGACGTGGCTGGTTTTCCTTTTGTAGTCCGTGATTGTCTGTAGACCCTGCCACATACGTCTC